AAAGGTCTTGGGGATGAATGGGATCACCGCAGTCGCGAATTGGCCAACGGCGGCCATTTGGTAGTTCCGGTTAGCGGTGACTGACTGACAGAACTCGCATTGGAGATCTTTGGCCTCATGGAGTGTTTTTTTTTTTGCCTTTCAAATTTGCCTCTTAACCATCTATCTATCCTTATTTAGAAAAACAAAAGTAGCCGAAAAGACGCATGACCTAATTGAAAATTTAACGGACCATACGTATACTGCTGAATTTCAAACTCATTCTGTGAACGTTCTGTTCAGAAATACGAAATGCATCTTAAGTAGTTAGTAAGCAAAAATTTGATCAAGGCGGTACCAACACCTACAGGTGCAGGCTCCTAGTCGATAAGATGCATTAGAGTCTCTCAAGCGGTCTCTTAACGGAAAATGTGTTAAAATGCACAGCATCAACGGGAATTCCTCCTGCTTTATGAAACTGACACAATTTTTCCAGATGAAGACATATGACGTGACCGTTACGTTTCTAACTCACGGTTATTTGAGGGAGTTGTAGTTCCGTTTGAGTTATAAGGAATCATGGCTTTTATGAAGCTCTATTGGGAAGAAGTTTCTTCAACCAAAACCTAGTTTCCATTTACAGTGGGAAGAAAGGAACGTCAGCTTCGTTTTCCTGGTTCATTTTTTTTCCGAAATTTTTTTGCTGAGCTTTTGGGTTAACCCTTTGGTATGGTGGAATCCAAAATTGGGTGCCAGTGTCTCATGCGTCAATCATAGTGGTACCCTCCGGTGGGTGCCACTATGACTGACGCATGGGACATTGGCACTCAATTTTGGATTCCACCATACTTTCTTAATTCTTACCAATTGCTAAAATCAGTGAGCCAGTAAAAGATGTTCTCTTGGGACAGTGCCACCCACCGATGTGTGCCAGTCGCGCGCGAAAGGGGGAGAGCGTGGTCCCATTGGTGGGTCACGTCGAAATCCGCACTGTCGTCAAAGGGCTAATGAAGGAGGAGTTCGAATAAAAAAGTGCTGATAGATCGCTTAGTAAATGCATGCACTTAAACTTAATTTCCTTAGCAACGTAATTGTGCCCAGAGAATGTAAAGGTAAAATTTTACTACAAATATAAAACACAATTCATAATTGGTTGGCGAGTCGCTATGTCACCAGAGAATGATTCTAGGTTGCGATATCTGCGTTCTTTGGGGTGTGACTTGTGGTGAGCATATTTGCGTGTATGGCATGCAAAGTGGCTAACCGCATTCAGACTTGACGTACTCTCAACGCCGACGTTACTGGGCCGCGTCCTACTGCTACAGTCGAACTGTTGGTGTTAATCCACCGCAGGAGGAACGCGGCCGACGGATGCGCCGTATGTAACTAAAGTGTCAGCGCAATGAATGATGATTAAGTCCGATAGCGAGTACCATTGAGTTGTTCTCTCATTCATACTGGTTGTACAAACATGGCGCCTTGACCGTTGCTCTAAATGACCAGACGCGTGCCAGTGTTATTACAGAGGCGGTAACTTCGAAAAAAAAGCAACAATGATGAGCTCAAAAGATTCTTTTTTTTTTGTAGTTTCACATGATTTGATTGATTTTCCTTACACAAGAAGATTTCAAGAACTCATTTTGGTTTCTGTAGAGCTCATATTATCGGCAGATGCCATTACCACGTACAACCCAGTCGGAACTACCAAGCACTGCAAACAATAGTGTATTATGAGCGCAATCTGCCAGCCCAGTGTGTAGCCTGAATGAAAATACGATCGCACGGCTTTTATGTAGTTGCAGAAAAACACGTAGCCTTCTTCTCTATCCGTATACGCTCGAGAGTGCAAGGAGGGCGCTATACAATACCGAAATCCTTTCAGGACACAGTTCATGATCTGGTTGATTCTGCAAATAAATCCTTGAGAAGGAAATTTGGCTCGCTCTTGATTATTCGATGTGTGGCGTTGTCACAACGAAAAATGGTCCGGAATGGGCGCCGTAAGGGCTCAAAAACCGAACCCTGTCTGCCAACTGATTGGAGAAGTGACAGAAACTTAAGCTTTTCTGGCGCCATTCCCTGACCATACTTCACCGTCATTCGCTGCCCGGCGTTCGAGTAGTAGAGCCGTTGCACGTGGAGTTTTTGACCGAAATGCTTACTGTCTTCGTTTCGATGGAAATGTTGCCAGAAACATGTTTGCAGTAGCGAGTCTATTTACAGTTGGCCCCACATCATTGTCGAGGCTCTCCCTCTCACCTCTGTTAGGAGAGTCGAACGCGAACTACGGCAACATCGGGGCTGCCACCCTGGACGTCGAGATTGGGGCAGTGAGAGGGTCCCTTCTACCACCCATGGGGGCCACTGTTTATTGATAAGGTAAGAACTCGGAAACCTTTTCTATCGTGAGCCCTGCCTTTAATAGCCAAGATGAAGCCGTCCAACTGAAATATGATTCAAATCTCAGAAAGACTGAAAATGGGAACTGCAACCCATAGTATAGGTAAAAAGATGCTACTGCTTTTATAATAAGGTTTATTGAATTAGAAATAACCTTCGAAAGCCACTTTTAGTTCAGGTTTCTGTCTTCGAAAAATACCTTGCCAACATCGCGAATGCCAGGTACGTAGTATTAGGTTGTCATGAGTGTCCACGCCAACATGCCCTTCAGCTAACCACTTCCACTTCTAGCAGACATCGGGGAACATTCTGCTTGTTACATGCCTGCCGCCAGCTGGCAGCAACCTACCGCCCACCCACAGCCACGACAAAACATCAAAGGAAAAAAAGAACACGGTGGTAGCCTCCAAGGTACTGGGCAATCTGTGAGGATGGGCTCGAGTTTGTCACCACCAAACAACTTCATTTGTCAATATTTCGTACATTTCCAACGTCGATAAATACAAATACACTCCAAAATGTTCCAGTGGCAAAAGCAACTGCATGCATATGTAGTGGAGTTCTACTACTATACAAATACTGCCTCGAATTCAGCTCGAGCTAAACAGCACTGATGGCACTGTTGGCAGTGTCACAGGGGCATGGAAAATTTATTTTCACTCATTCCCCCCCCCCCCCCTTTATTCAATTTCCTATTCCTATAGGCTGAAAAAGGTGAGCTACTTTTGCTGTTACTGGGGTTTTTTTTTGTTTATTTATTGTTGTAGTAGTAAGGAGTTATTGATACTGTTAATGATACTTGTCACTTTCGCGTTCAAGCCATGATCTCATCGGGGTACATAAACCCCTCGATTGGTTGTACAGTTTAGTTTATCGTCTAATAAACACTCTGCCGCCTGTCGACTACCTCCAGACGCAACAACTGGCGATCAGGTAAGGGCTCATGGATAAGCTTACCGAGATTCTCGCCTTGATGCAAGACCAGATGGAGCGCCAGGAGAGCATGCTGATGTTCATGCAGAAGCAGCAAAAGGATACCTCCGAGTCCTTCTTCCGTGCCTTGGAAATGATGGAAGTGCGGATGAATAGGGCGAATCCCGCAGCTGTGAAGTATAGCATTTTTGACTCACTCTGCCGACGCACCGACAAGTTCAACTTTGATGCGGAAAACGGAAGAACGTTTGATATATGGTTCAAACGCTTCAAGGACGTCTTCGACAACGATTGTACGGAGCTGAGTGAGCAAGAAAAGACGCGCTTGCTAGCAAGCCGCTTAGATGAAGATTGTCACCAGCTGTTTTGCGGTTCAATTGCGCCGAGGTCGCCGTCAGAATTGTCATGGGATGAAGCCGTTGCTACTATGGACCGCCTATTTGGTTCTGCGAAGACCTTGTTCCGTCGACGGTTCGAATGCTTCAAAATCATGTATGACCACCAAGATTTCGATAATTATGAGATGCTTGTGCGCACGCGATGTTCTGATGCCAAATTCGACTCCATAAGCTTCGATGGCCTTCAGTGTCTCGTCTACGTTGCCAGATTCCAGGGAGCCGAATTCGCTGACTACAGAACACGACTACTGAGGAAGTTAGATCAAGGAGATAACATCACGATCAAAGACCTCACAGCCGAATGTCAACTCATCAAGTCGTACAAAAAAGATGCAAGAATGCTGGAAAGCACAGCGGACCCTAACATTGCGACCAACTACGTCGGCAGGAAGAGAAAAAGAAGAAATTTCAACCTGAAGCAAAAACCAAGGAATAGGAAAGAATTCAATGCGCTTCGGAATCCAAGATCTGGTAAACAGGAATCACTGCCACCGTCACGCCCACAAACCAGACGTAACAGTACAAGGAGCTGCCAGATATCAGAATCGAGTTGGAAGAAACTCGGAAGACCCCAGCTACAGAAATTCAACACGATCGTCAATGCCGCAAACGGAACAAGGATCCCCACAAAAGGATACATCCTTGCCAACTTCGTGCTGAGAAGCTCAGATGGAAGGCAGCACCGTGGACAAGGATGCTGCCACGTCACCGAAAAACTCGACATTTTTGGCTGGGAATGGATCCAAAAGATTCCGGAACTAGTGGAACCACTACAAAAATACACTAGTGGAGTGACCATCGTTGCTGATCCTGCGGCTTCGTGCCGGGAAGAGATTGTCGCCAAGCTGAAGATCAATTATGCCGACGTATTCAGGGCAGGGCTCGAACGATGCACAAAGACGAAGGCGACACTCCAGCTAAAACCCGATGCTCATCCTGTCTTCAAAAAGAAGTGCCCCGTGCCATTCGCTTACGTCGCGGCCCTCGATGAAGAGATTGACCGTCTACTTGCAGAACAAGTGCTTTCTCCGGTTGACTACTCTGCTTGGGCAGCCCCGATTGTCGTCGTCAAGAAATCAAATGGAACACTACGACTCTGTGCTGATTTTTCTACTAAATTAAACGACGCGCTGATACTACATAAACATCTGCTGCCAACTCCGGACGACGTTTTTACGAAACTAAACGGTGGCACAACATTCACACAAATCGATTTCGCCGATGCTCATCTTCAAATCGAAGTCGATGATGAGGCGAAGGAGCTACTAACCATTAATACGTACAGAGGACGGCTCCGCTACAATCGCCTCCCGTTTGGCGTCAAGTATGCGCCAGGCATCTTCCAACAAATCATAGATTCCATGATTTATGGACTCAAAGGCTGCGCTGCTTACCTCGACGACGTTACCGTCACATGCCGCAACATCGAAGAGCACGTTGCCAATCTGGAAGTTCAAGAGGGTATCCGACTATGGCTTCCGTGTTCGAGTGGACAAGTGCAATTTCCTTATGCCTCAACTCCGATACCTTGGAAATATTATCGACTCCACTGGACGCCGACCTGATCCTGCCAAGATCGAGGTGATTCGCAAGATGCCAAACCCCACGGACATCGGTCAGGTGCGATCGTTCTTGGGGATGCTCAACTACTAAGGACACTTCATCAGCGAGATGCGACAACTGCGTGCACGTTGGATGATCTACTGAGGAAGAATGCTCTGTTCAAATGGTCTGCCGAGTGCCAAGACGCCTTCCAACGCGCCAAGGATGTGCTAGCCTCGGACTTCCTGCTCACCCACTACGATCCTTCGAAAGAGATCGTCATCGCGGCCGATGCATCGGAGTACCGGTTGGGAGCAGTGATGAGTCACCGTCTCTCGGATGGAACGAAAAAAGCGATTCACCACGCTAGCCGCTCTTTGACAGCTGCCGAGAGGAACTACGGTCAAGTCGAGAAAGAGGCTCTCGCTATAACGTTCGCCTTACAGAAGTTTCACCGTTACATATACGGACGCCATTTCAAGCTGTTAACCGATCACAAGCCGCTTCTCGCTATTCTCGGAAGCAAGAGAGGAGTGCCAGTATATACGGCCAACCGACTCCAGCGTTGGGCACTGATTGTGAAAAATTACGGCTTCACTATTGAATACCGACACACAACCAACTTCGGACAAGCTGACGCCCTATCTCGCCTTATTGCAGAACAATCGACAAGGGAAGAAGATGTAGTCATTGCAGCTATCGAGAAAGATGCGTCAACCATCTTCGTCAATGCAGTGTCTTCGCTGCCAGTCGATGCAAGGAAGATAGCGGAGGAAACGTCCAAAGATCCAAACCTGAAAGAAGTGCTACATTTTGTGCGAAGGGGAGAGTGGCCAAAGAAGTCGGATGTTGCCAAAAGATTCAATTCTCTCAAGAAATCGCTCTCCACGCAAAATGGATGCCTATTAATCGGAGATCGCATTGTCATTCCAGATACTTTACGAAAAGCAGTACTTTCCGAACTCCACGACGGACATCCAGGGATGACTCGCATAAAGATGCTCGCCAGAAACTATGTTTACTGGACAAACATAAACGACGACATCGAAACTTTCGTGAGAACATGCCGTTGCTGCCAGGAAACTGCTAAGAATCCAATCAAGACTACGCTTCATTCATGGCCGATAGAGGACAAACCATGGAATCGTATACTTGCCGATTTTGCTGGACCAATGAATGGGAAGATGTACTTCGTCGTTGTCGACGCTTACTCGAGGTGGCCGGAGATCGTGGAAATGTCATCAGTGACGACAAGTTGCACAATTAGAGAATTACGCCGTCTTTTTGCCCAATTCGGCAATACGCAGACACTGGTAACTGACAATGGAGCTCAATTCACATCTGCTGAGATCGATGACTTCTGCACCAAGAACGGTATCAGACACATCAAGTCTCCTCCATTTCACCCACAGTCTAACGGTCAGGCAGAGCGGTTTGTTGACACCTTCAAAAGAAGCTTCAAAAAAATGAAGGAAAGTTCATCGCCGACAAAAGCTCTATAAAACTTCCTGCAGACTTATCGTTGAACTCCTTGCCCCTCCGCACCAGGAGGACAGTCACCTGCAGAACTGTTCCTCGGGAGACAGATCCGGACAAGACTCAACCTTCTCAAACCGTGTGCCATTACGAACTCCAACAAACGAGATCAGAAAATGGAGGCATAATATAACCGCCATCACGGAGCCAAAGAGAAGCAATTCAAAATTGGAGACTTCGTGTGAACTAAGGACTATCGTTCCGGATGGCGGAAGCAGACGCCGGGTCAAGTACTACAACGACATGGAGACAGACTGTACGACATAGCAGTAAATGGAGAAATCTGGAAGAGACATGCTAATCAGCTACGCTTACGCGTTAATAGTGATGAACACACCACCGTACCAACAACAGAACTCGCTGAGCTACAGCTGCTACCAATGTCAGCGCCAGCCAATGTTACAGGAGAAAGAGAGACAAAACAACCTACCATTGCGGGCGGACCACAACTCACACCAGCAATGGACAGTATCACAAGAACGACTCCTTTTGAGACTCAAGAAATTGATGGACAACGCCCAACCAGATCACGACGCGCACCGAAGAATTGATGGTCGATCCCAAGAAGAAGATGTACGCTTAGAACGGTTCATCTCAGGGGGGAGGTGTTGTAGTAGTAAGGAGTTATTGATACTGTTAATGATACTTATCACTTTCGCGTTCAAGCCATGATCTCATTGAGGTATATAAACCCCTCGATTGGTTGTACAGTTTAGTTTATCGTCTAATAAACACTCTGCTGCCTGTCCACTACCTCCAGACGCAACATTTGTGCTTATAAGTGAATGAATTTTGGCTTACCATTGCCTGTTCTTCGCACCAGGACCCACACGCGCAGTGAAACACACTATTTAGCTTGTCCGAACGCCCCACCCTTCTTCATTTTTCTGGTTTCATTCTCGTCCAGCCCCCTTTTTAACGGGTTCTCGAAGCCTTTTTTCACTTTGGAAACACCGATGCACGCAGTTTCTTCACCTCAGTCGCACTAGTTTCGATATTGTATTCCATTTTTCTTCGTAATCTGGATTACCCAAAGGAAAGGGAAAGGGAAATGGGAAAGGACTCTCTGTGCTTATAGATCACCTTTAAAATGTTCTCCTTACATGGAGGTTTCAAACTTTTATGTGGTAGCCTTTATAGAAAACGGTGCAAACAACTTTTGTCCCTTTGTATCCAGCGAGTCAACTAAGCAGATCTTTATTAGCCAATGGCTAGGTCTTTTATCACAACTTAAAACCTTCGGATAGCCATGGGTTAGATTAAAGATTGTATGTAGGTTGATAAATATTTTGATTTTAATCCGACAACAATATCAAAAAGTTTGAAGTTTCGACAAAACGGAGCCAAGTTTGCTTTGCGTTTTGTCTTCATCACTCTGTTGAGCTTTGGATGACGACTTTTTCTCGGTGATCTCCTTTTCTTTTTTCTTGGCCTTATGAGAAACGGTTTTCTCGATTGCGGTCTTCTGCGCAACTTCGGTCGCCACCGGCTCTATTGGTGCCGTGTTTTCGTCACCGGTTACAGAAGAAAGGCCTTCTTCGTTTTCCAAAGCAGTTTTTAGCGTTTTGTCATCAGCAGATCCAGATTCAGCCAAAGGTTCTTCCGGAGGAGTACGGTCAAGCAAATTGTCACCTGCCATATCATGGACCACTAAAAAACGCCTTCACCGAGGTCATGGAAGCAAAAAGCCGAAAAAAAATGCGAAGATAAATCACCAAAGGCTCCTTGTATTCGTTTGTGAGAAGGATGAGATTCTGATACAGAAAATATTTCCGATATTTCCTAAATTTGAATACCTCTCAGTCTATTGCATCGGAAGGCGTTCCGAAGTATACTACACCTAACCATATCTGATGGAACGATGGAGAGTTGATAGACACAAACAATAAGGGGTAGGAATAAGGGAAGCAAAAAGACGACAGATTTGGTCATGCTTGAACTATCCACCTTATCCGGTACCTAAAACCAGAGAATAAAAGGTTATTTTTGATAACTTCACCAATATTCAGTCTGAATTAACTTTTTTGATAGCCGTGAAGGTGTGGTCGCTAGCCTACCAATACTGGCTTCCTATCCACCAACCTCATCACGACCGCATGCTCTTCGCTCAAATGGAAGTCGATCGAACCACTCCGTGCAAGCGTTCTTTCTACAGTATAACTCATCCACTCAATGGTCGTGCAGTATTTACGGGTAATTACTTTTGATCAATGTATCGTTTGATCACACAGCACAATAAACTCGGCTACCCGGGGTCTTCCTATTCCTCAGAAGAGACCATCCTTTCTAACCGGATTTCTAACCGGGAAAATTTTGTTGGCAGAACTGTATACCTATTGATTACTGGAAGAGTAGAGGGCAGATCTAAACGCGAACTGTAAACACGAATCATTCGCCGCAGGAAAAGCAACATAAACCTAATAAGTGCCAAACGAACCGTCTCATAGAGGTTGCGAAACTGAAGCCAACCGCTCATACGATTGCATTCAATTGCTTGCATAGCCTGAAAAATACCATTGAAAATTCGGTAATCAAAAAACCAATCAAATGGTAAAAATAACAAGTCCTCAATACTGGGTTTTAGAGCGATAATTCTTACTATCATAGCGATTAATGAATGGCGATAGGCAAAAATCAGTAACGTCGGATTGAATATGGAACCTGATTCTTCGCCTAACACTTCAACGACATCTACCTCAAACTCGTGCTGCCCTAAATATTCATACTACATCAGTAAGAAAATAAAGTGGAGGAATAGAACCCCTTGGATGCATGCGGTTGCGTCGCGGTATTTGCCCATATCGTAGTAATGGCTAGCCCGAAATTAGCAGTTGGGGTGAACGATTATGCGGATATGGTATCAGGGTTTATATAGCAACGGCTAGCCGTATGTAGCTGCTGTAACGTCCGACAATCATAAAAACTTCAAAAAAACTCTCAACTCATCACAATCTTCAGCCGCGTCGCGACCTCTCGCTTCGGGCTGAACTCCATGTGAAAATTCATAATTCCAAAATTTACTGCACTTTACCGTAAGCATAGACGAAGATGAAAATCTCGATGGCAATGAAGAAATACTTGGAATAAGTGACAATGGATTCTTCCACCGTCTTTTCACCATCGGCTAACTATAAAAGAAAGAAAATTTGAACGATATCTTGGACCGCTACACGCGATTTATCGATAATAAAGGCCTTTTTACAGAACATATCGTACCTATGCGAGTAGGAAAACCTAGCCGCACTAGTCAACTAAAAATTTGGGAGTTCCAAATGGAAGGTAACTTCGATTGCCTTACATGCATCGTGAAGACTGAGTAAAACAAGCAGCTGCAGCAAACATATCCGAAAGCTACAAGCCGCTGATTAACACGTTGACATCTAGGAGAAAAGTCCCGCATTATCGCAAAAATGGCAAAGATTACACCTGAACACATCCACAATATTTGTTGGCTGATGGCCATAATCTAGTAGGAGAAATTACCTACCGAAAACTGATGTTAGGTCCATGAGTAGGAAGAGGAGGTAACTAAGAATCAGATAGCCCCATGTGTCCATACTTACTAGAGCCGTATACTCTGTCAAAGCTGCTACGGCAAATCGAATTCCTGAAGTAATACTAACAGTTTCAAGTGCAATGCCACTTGGAGAAGAACGTAATAGACGCGGGCTGACGCGATGCGTGTTTATTAGAACAAAACAAAATGCAGTCTGACAGCACCTATTGTATTCGTACTGATGCTCGTAGTTGTAGATATGTAGTCTAATTGCATATCATTGACTTTTAGAATAAACATCATAGTTGTATACAGCGACAGTGCAGCTGCGATCATCATCAACCAAAATACCATAATGGCAGTCTGAAAAGTGGTGCCTAGGGCTAAAATTGTACAGAAAATCTGTGCTGAAGGGGCGGGATAAACCCAGAAGAGCACAAACTACATGGCCTTCCATCAACAGTGCTCCTACGGAGGGATGCACCAAATTATCATCCAGTGTTGTCCAGCACTATGAATGAGACATAAATAGAGATCAAATCGCTTCCAATCTCGCTTACAACTATGGAATCCAACCGCGTGGTGTACACCCAAGGATTGATTGAGTCAACTTTTCCATTCTTAACTGCTCCCAAATTACCCTACAAGCAAGTAAATCAATGTGATCGATCCCCACTTGATAACTTCGTCCATTTCGATTTCTGAATGATGAAAAACAGAATAGACCATACACGCAGTGCCCATACGTCTGTATAGATAGACGGAAGGCAGTTAAATACGTCTAAAACAAGAGGTTGTTAATGAAAAACGCGTGGGAAAGTAAAACACGAAGGAAAGCTCAACCTCTACGCGAAAAAGCGCCACAGGATTAGAAGCCATTCTGAGTATCGAAAGAACGTCTTCTATAGGGGGAGTTTCCCATATAACGGAAAAGAAGTATAAAGCAATAAATATAACTGAAAAAGAACATAATCAGTGTAGGCGGCGTTCTTTAATGTAAAAGGAAGGAAAGACAATATCAAACAACCGAGAAGACATGTAGTGATTTTATCGTATTATACCAACACTCGTCGAATACCTGAACAGCTAAAGGAAATTTGACATTGGTCTAATTGTTGTTTAAATATCGAGAAACCTGTCACCATAAAAAAATTCGACTGAAATAAGAGGGGCAACTGTGGAGGACGCGGATAACAGCGGCTGTGTCACGAACTCAGTCATCCCACTTAGTCACCCATAATCCACGCCTTCTAAACATGCCCCTTCTAGCATGAACACGACCTGATAACTCTGCATAGAATCTCATGGGAAGCTTCACTCAACTTATACGCCTTACTTAAATAATAGAATCCATAGAAAGGTGAACCTAATAAAAAAAAGCTCATACGAGGGTGCTCAAAGCTGTTCCATCTCTCACAGGAAGTTCATTCTTTCTGCAGTGCACAACAACCTGAGATGGATCAAACATATCTAAGACGAGGCGAGCTCGTCTTATGGGCGGAGCGTTTTTTTTATATTTTTATAATTTCTAGAGTGAATAACATCATTCGACGTGTTGCAATAAGAAAAGAGAATCTTCCAAAAGTCAAAAGTATCTTGAAAACTACATCTGCTCATTAACTATCCATCACTCGGAAAGAACAGCAGATTTTGCTGTAATCTGCTTCGCAAACATGTCCTTATAGTCTTTGAATGTACAGGGTGGGCCAAAATTATGATTACAGCGCGCGCTGACGTTCAATGCAAAGTTTTTCTATGTTCATAACAATTCATTGGATTTCTTCCATTTCACAAAGTAGCTTACGTTATTACCTTTCTAATGATACTGAGCTTTTGGTAGATTTTTAACATAATATAAGCGTAACTAGTCCGTGAATTAAACGTCGCTTTGCATTTACAAACACTTTTGGCACGGTGCATCTACAGACGAACTAGCGAAACAAGGCAGGTATTGCATTCAACCATAAGACGCTCTCGAGAGTTGGGAACCAATTGCAGATAGGAGTGGTGAACCTTGGAGAGCTGTGGTTACATTTAGGGGAAGTGTTAAGGAAGCAGAGCAAAGGTCTACGTAGGAGCAAAATTCATTCTGAGTCTAAAAAGGCTAAATGAATGGATATGTCAAGGAATTTCCTGCGTGAAATCGTGAAGCATCACTTGCACAATGAGACCCTTATACGATCAGAAAGTGATCCCCCCGGTGAGCAGGTTAAAGAGAAGAGAAAGGTTGGCTAACAAAAGCTGCCTGTCGCATCCAAAAAAATTGTCCTGCGGAATTCCTGTTCACCGACGAAAAGAGGTTCACAGTGAAATAGGTGCTCAATAAGTAGAGCGATAACATTTATATGAAGCTTAAAGAAATGAAAGTGATACAGCGCCTGACTAACTAACTTTCTGTGATGGCCTGTGCTAGCATCACCGCCGAGGCAAAGACATAGACTATTCTTGTAAATTATGGAGTGGAAGTTGGTTTGGAGGCCTGTTTGATCTCTTCGTGCGCAACAGAACACTTTCGCGATTCAAATAGGACATATTGTCAAGATGAAGCTCCCGACCGCAGATCAGAAATCGTCGAGAAATTTCGTGAAAGTGGTTTTTTGACTTCATAACCTTCGATAAGTGATCACTCTGGAGCCCTGACCTAAATCCCATGAATGTCTCAATGTGGTCAGCCTCTGAGATGAAAGCATCCTTCAGCCCAAACAAGAGAAGAAATAATCTCGAAAATGCTCAGCAAAAAGCCGAGATCACTTCGATGACCCTAGCTGCGTGCCACCGTCAATGCCGTCCATCGTCGTCTCTGGGATTGGGTGAAAGCAGAAAGCAACGGATCCCAGTTTCAATGTACAGTTTTGGTAAGAAATTTGTGATAAACCCTTTAATGAAACTGGTTCGCTCTATTGGCTTTTTATTCGTTTTCTGCGATGTGATTTCTGTGCAATCATAATTTTGGCCCACCCTGTATTGTAAATAGATACGAACTCTCATCAGTGAAAAGGCATTTAAAATTAGAAGAGCACGAAATCTTACATGTTGCAATCAGCACAGCTCGGAGACCCTTCACTCCCAAGCATGCACAGAAAAAAAGGAAAGCATATTCAAGTCCGATGATCTGAATTAACTAATTTGTCAGTATTCATTTCAAAATAGACTGGTAACGTCCACGTTAGCCATTAAATATTTTCATAAGGGTTTCATTCATTCAAACTTACTGAAAACTACTTGCAAAACCTAAACTATCCTGCACTTAGTCGCAGTACTTTGATCCTGTATTAAGTCAACAAAATCAGGGTTTTGGGATGCGCTTGCGACATCTGACTTCCACTCAAAATCGTAGCGGCATTTTGAATGCGCATGTATCCTATGCAATGGTTTACCACGGCTAGCCAGTGTACATGCCAGTGCTATAACCCTTTGACGACAATGCGGATTTCGACGTGAGGCGCCCATGGGACCGCGCCCCATCCTTTCGTGCGCGACTGGCACCCACCGGTGGTCCCAGGAGGAACTGCTTTTTCTGGCTGAATAAACTTGGCAATATATCTGCATAAGAGGCATCAGATCTTATTTTATCTCATGTTAAGCTGAGGCTTAAAATTGCTCTTCGGGTTTGGAAGCAATGTAGGTTAAAATTTTGGTAACAGTGTAAGCAACAGGGAATCGTGAAACATCGAAGGAACTTGAGGGTGAAGAGTACGACCGCACGGTCACATAATCGCAAACCAGGTATTCTAAGTACTACCTCGAATGCTTCCAGGACATACACAACTCTTGCTAAAGTATCCAAACCTTTTCAGTACTACTCCATTGACTACATGTTTGTAATAAATAAGCTCCTATAAAACATTCACGTGGTACCATGTTGAATATAATACCATGAAGTTTGTTAATAAATATAAAAATATTTAAGTTTCAAATGTGCAAATAAAGTAAAAAAAACATCGTGGCACCATCACTGGGTGCCATGGTCTCATGCGACAGTCATAGTGGCACCCACCGGTATGTGCTATGGTTGTCCAAGGATTAATTTCCCCAGAGTCTGGCAGCAATTCACTGGCACTCAGGTATGGAAGACATAGTCGGCCGAAAGAAGTGTTAATCCGGTTTCGACCCCGGACCGTGTGTGTAACATTGCGTCGTTTAAAGCTATATCATCTCCGAATAAGCAAAATTTCGGACATATTATTTGTCGAGGAGGATAGGAGGGAGATTTTGGTCCTAAATACAACTAACACCGCATATCTCAAAAACTTGGACACCGGATGCGTATATGAGGTGGAGTCAAGCGGCGTTGCTACGAGCGCTGGGGCTGTGGCTTGCAACACGGGCGCTCCAATTCAATCAGTCAAAGTTGATAGTAGGGTGTAGTAGGGATTCCACTTCTGCATGCGAGCCCGTCGCATCGCGCTACCCCGTATTCTATACGTTCCTGTCAAGCTAGTAACTTTAGTTGATACCAGATTCGCCTAGGGGGATAAAAGTTTCCCTTGCACATCAGCTGTCACCGCATATCATTGTATGGGTTGTAAGCGTAATCAGAGGAGACAAGGTTTTTAATGGAATTCATAATAGAGTATCAGATCGGTATTGATGCATGTAAAAAAATTTGTGTTCTCCTATCGATTATGGGTGCATATTTCATCGCAGTGTTATTACGGTTTACCAATGATGCAAAAATCAATCATTTTACTCGGTATCGAAGGATGGCTGAAGATACTGAAGGTTTTAACTTTGGCAGTCATAAGATTTGATCGCAGGTCTAGTCTTCTTCTTTCTTCTTCTTCTTTTTATTCTTTAGCGTTTGTCCCGCTTGTAGGCGGGGTCCGCTTTTCTGATATGTTGACGCCACATCTCTCGATTGAATTCTTGATCAGGGTGGATGTTAACCGCTTTAAAATCTTCGTGCAACGTATCGAGCCACCGCTGCTTTGGACGTCATCTAGGCCGCTTTCCGGACACGTCAAGGTTGAGACTGATCTACAGACAGTGCCGTTCTTCGCGCGAAGAGGATGACCATATATCGAAGACGGGCTTCGCGCATTTTATCGACAATGGGCGCTACACCGATTCGCTCCCTTATGGCGTCATTGCTTATACGGTCTAAGCGTGTTACTCCGGCTGTCCAGCGCAGCAACTTGGTCCCCATCACACTGAGACGAGCTTCCACTTCTTTGCTCGTAGGCCAGCACTCAGCGCCGTAAATCGCGACGAGCCGGATGACGGTTCCGTGGATCTTGACTTGAGACGCTCAGGGATGTTTTTATCGCAGAGTTCACCAGTCATTGGGCGCCACTTCAACCACGCTGCATTAACGCGAGAATCCGCTTCAGAACCCAGGCTGCCGTCAGACGCAATTGCCGATCCAAGGTACTTGAAGGACGTGTCCGTGTAAGCTCAGTACCATTGATCTTGACAGAATCTGGCTCGCGCGAATCAGTGGTCACGTGCTCAGTTTTTTTGACGTTTTACCTGAACCCAAACATAGTCAGACAGTCGGACCAGGGCTGCACCTGTGACTCGAGCTCGCTTTTGTCTTCGCTGGCGAGCATCACGTCGTCGGCATAAAGAAGCGTTCACGCAGCCGGCTTCTAGAGGTCTTTTGTAATGGTATCCATGACGACAACAGAAAGTAGTGGGGATAACGCAGAGCCTTGGTGTACCCCGACGGAGATGGGAAATTCCGCCGATGTGCCCGCTGCCGTTTGCACTCTGCTCTTTGGGCTAGTGTAAAGGATGCGCACCCATTCAGTGAGCTCTTCGGGTACGCCATGTTGTCGTAAGGCATACCATATAACGTCACGCGTAACGCGATCGAAAGACTTCTCCAAGTCTAGAAAAGCAAGATATACCGGTCTTTGTTCTTCGCGATGCTTTCTAGTAGAAGCGAGTGGCGTGTATGGCATCAATGGTGCTGCAACCAGACACAAAGCGCAGTCTCCAAGACTGCCCTTTTTTTCCAGATAAGAATCGTCGTGCCCTGTTGCCAACTCTCAGGCACCTTTTTCTCTGCAACGACCTGGTTGAAGAAGTCCGTCAGCCGCCCTGCAGGATTCCAGCATTTCGACTTCCACAAGTCCGTCGCTATGTCGTCAGGACCTGTGCTTTGCCTGATTTCATCTTCTTCAAAGCCGTAATGGTCTCATTCACAGTTATCTTCTGAACGGGACCGTGTACTGGCGGGGCGCACGGGATGGCGGGATGAGCGAATTCGACTGTTGAGATGTTTGCGAAGTACTCTCGCCATCGTTTTAGTGTTTGCCTGCGGTCCGTTAAGAAGTGACCGTTCTCGTCATTTATGCCGAAGAACTTTTCTATATCCTCGGTCTGGCGGTTGCGGGTCTTTGCGAGTCGGTAAACGTACCGCTCACCATCACGAGACTCGAGCTTCTTATTAAGGTCGGCATAATGAGCTGCCTTCTCAGAAGCAACGGCCTTCTTCGCCTGTTTCTTCGCTATGTGATAGCGTTGCCAGTTGTCAGCCGTCTTTTCGATAGAGATATGCGTGGTACTGCTTTTCCTTCTCACGGACTTTATCCCTGACATGGTCCGTCCGCAGCCATGTTTGCTTATCGAGCTTTCGCCGTCCAGGCTTAGTCATGCCGACCTTCGACCGCGCAACCTGGGTTATCGCTTCCGCAGCTCCCTTCCAAGTTTCGTAGACAGTCGTTACCGCTGGTAACAGAATGTTGGAAACTACGGCCGCTTCTTTCTCCTTCAGTCGCCACCACTTGATTCTCGCTGGCCTACACCTTTCTGCTAATTTTGGTTTCGGCGGGGCGATCTTTGACGTACAAATCATTGGTCGGTGTTGTGTTGCGACCGTTTCATAGAGAATTGTCTTCGCGTCTGTTACGAGCCCGTGATCGCGGTGCCTGACAAGGACAAAATCAATTTGTGTTCTGTTCTCATCACGTTTGCGAAATCTCGGGTTTACAATGGCGAGATTATGCCAGTCTGCATATTCGAGAATTCGCTCGCCATCAGTGTTACGTGACCCATATCCAGAACCCCCATGGCAGCTTTAACCGTCTTTCGCAGCACCCACGTGACCGTCGAGGTCATCTGCGACAACTATGGCTTATTGGAACGGTATTTCAGCTGTCTTTTCATCAAGCAGGTTCCAGAACGTGTCCTTGGTTTGCTCGGAGCATCCAGTCTGCGGAGCATACGCAGAGAAGAGATGGTACTTTTGGCATTCGGTGACTACCACGATCTTCATTAGGCGGTCATCGAAGCGTTCCACGCTTACTACCGAGTCACGGAACCGTTCAGAGACTACAGGGTGGCGAAAAATTACGTGCGCGATAAAAGACGCTCGAACTTTATCATTCGTACACCAACATGGAAAGAAAAATATTTTCTTAAAACGACAAACAGTGACGTTACATAATCACAACGAATTTTCAAAGTGCCCGCCTTTCGCTTTGATACAGGCTTCGATTCATCTTTTCACCGAGTCGACGGTGCGCCGAAGGTAGTCGAGGTCCAGATTGTCCCAGACTTTGCAGACTTCCTTTCGCAAAGCCACAAACTTTTCACGTTCCTATTCCTTAGATCCTCTTCCATATAACCCCAAACAGCGAAGTCTAAAGGATTCAAATCTGGGCTATTAGAGGGCCACAAATCCGTCAGGAAGGGGCCAATTTCGTTCTTGAGGAAGTGAATTGTGGATCTCGCTGCATGGGCCGGAGCCCAGTCCTGCTGGAAGATGAAGTTGGGATGATTTTGCTTCCAGGATAGCAGGGCTTTTTCAAAGACTTTTTTTGGTAGAACTTCGCATCAATTTTCACATTTTTGTCTATGAAAATCAACGGAGTCTTGCCTGATACACTGATACCACCCCAAACCATTAAACCTTTGGGGAACAATGTTCTTGTGGCAATTTTCCTTTTCCGGGTGTTCTTGAGAGCTGGGCTAAGAAGTTGACGGTGATTCTGAGGCTTTTTAGCCACTTTCACGGTGAATACTGTTTCGTCAGACCAAAGATCGTCTTCGAAGCGGCGCACCTCGAAAAACTCCAGCAGTTTCTTGCATTTTTTTTCGACTTTGCTTTGCTTTTTTGGTAACAGCATGTCCACTTAATAGGCGATAACTTCGGAGCCCAAGCTCATTTTTTACTATCATTTGGACTGATTTTCTAGAGATCTTGAGCTGTTCTGCCATTTTGTTCACGCTCCGATCATCCTTACAATCAATCCTCTTCTTGATAATACCACGCACCCTCCTTGTGTTGACAGTCCTCTTCCTTCCTCCTCCCGGGCTTGGTAAGGATGTGTCCTTCCTCCTTCCATTGCTTCACAATCTTTTGAACTGTTCTCAGAGGAATCCTGAGCTACGACGCAATTGCAGCGTTCTTCATTCCGCCGCTAGCTAGGCGTGCAAACTCCTCGCGGCTTGTGCAGGCCTACACCGTGTTCTTGAGAACAACTTTCTCTTCACAGGCTGATTATCGAAGATGTAAAGAAAGCAACTGATGCGTAAAAGCCGGCTTTGATGCTTAAAGCAGTCACGGGATCGCTACCAAATTCGTGCACACGTAATTTCTCGCCACCCTGTATTATCCCGACGCCGTCGGTGGTTTTGGGGCCACCACAAAGAACGGCTTTGAAGCCGAGGCCAATGTCCCTGGACTTGCAGCAGGACCATCTCGTTTCCTGCACGGCACAGAAATCAATTCGTCGACGCTCTAGAGTTTCTGCTAACTCGTACAAGCGTCCCGTCGATGCGCCACATATGCGTCGCAACGCGTGTCTTCCATACGTTGTGTGGCTTTTGGACTAGCTTAGTTGCACCCCGATGCCGTCCTTGCACCGGAGACCCTCGAATACTTTTCACACTCACCGGGCCTTGCGAGTGCGCGTCGGCTCCCGCGACGCGTAGCATTACATCGAAATTCTTTAAGTGACATTAACATTTTTGATGTGACGGGGGTGTTCGTAGGCCGGCCTGTCACGGGGCCTGTCGCCTGCACTCGCATGCCCGTGGTCAGCTCAGCTCACAGAGTGGGCAGTTTCCGGTGGCACCCCTTGGAGGAACGGACATCGCCACCAATCGCAGGTCTGGATCCCTGTTGAAAAAATTTCTGTAACCATGATTTTTGCATCATTATTAAACCGTAACGCCTCATGCTTTATAAACACCTGCTCATACCTCCGGCATTGCCTAGGAATAATTTTACAGTCTTACAAATTCACCGATACAACCTCTTACTTCTACCGGAACTGAGCAATCCGGCTAGTTAGAACAAGGCTACAAACAGAAGAACAGACCTCAAATTTCAGATTTCCAGTAAAAAATACGACTTAAAGGCACGTTAACGAGAAAAAATTGTTCTGTGAGATTTCTCCTTATATGAATTCTAAGCTCCTCCTGATACCATATGTGCCGATGGCAGGTCAACAAACGTTCTGGATAGGGCACAATAAGGTGTCAAACGTTGTATAGTGTGAATGCCACATTCACCGCGTACGAGATTCAACAGCGTTGTAGAGACTGCAAAATCCACAAGGGAACCTATGTAGGAAGTTTGAGCAACCTGTTATAATCCATGACGACAACGGAAGGCAGTTTTGGGCAGTATCGACTTGATGTAGTAAGCTCTTTGCGTAATCGCAATATATGAAATCTCGTTCGAACACGCCTTCCTGCCATTCCCTTCATGGTGATCACGTACAACTTCACTTCTCACTACGTTTAGAAAGCCTTCATCTCCTCGAATTCTGCGGATTTTCTCGCTCTCTGTGCCACCGATGCACCCCTCAACCAATACTACCCATCCTCAACCAATACTTTCATTTTTCGACTTGAAGGCACGGTTCATGATAAAAAAAGTTACTGAGTTATTCCTCTAGGAATACCGGCGCCCCCATGAGTGATAGAAGGGACCCTCTCGCTCCTACAATCTCGGCGCTTAGGGCATAGTGGAAGCCCCGTTTCTGCAGTAGTCCGCTTTCCCGCCCCTCGATCGGTGTCACGTTAGACGAGTGTCGAGGCAATACAGATTGCTATTAATCGTTCTAGGACCCACGCACAATCACCTAATCGCCGAGTGATGAGGCGATGTTTTTCTCCCACTCTTTTTTCCTCTGTTTTTCTTTTTGCTGCCGCGATCCCCTATTTAATTTCCTACTCCTAGAGGTGAAAAAGGTGGGCTACTTTTGCTGTTGCTAGTGTTTTTTTGTTCATTTATGCTCATAAGTGAACGAATTCTTGCTCACCACTGTCTGTTATTCGCACCACGACCCCGACGCGCGCAGTGAAACACTGNGTGTCGAGGCAATACAGATTGCTATTAATCGTTCTAGGACCCACGCACAATCACCTAATCGCCGAGTGATGAGGCGATGTTTTTCTCCCACTCTTTTTTCCTGTTTTTCTTTTTGCTGCCGCGATCCCCTATTTAATTTCCTACTCCTAGAGGTGAAAAAGGTGGGCTACTTTTGCTGTTGCTAGTGTTTTTTTGTTCATTTATGCTCATAAGTGAACGAATTCTTGCTCACCACTGTCTGTTATTCGCACCACGACCCCGACGCGCGCAGTGAAACACTGTTTAGCTCGTCCGGACGTCCCACTCTTCATTTTTCTGGTTTCATTCTCGTCAGCCCCCTTTTTAACGATTTTTCGAAGCCTTTTCACTTTGGAAACACCTATTCGCGCAGTTTCTTCACCTCAGTCGCACTAGTTTCGATCTTGTCTTCCATTTTTCATCATAATCTGGATTACCCAAAATTATCGTGAACTGTGCCTTTAAAACGAGTACCTTAAAATTATCTTAAACTGTGCCTTTAAGCGAACCAATTCGAAAGGGGTAATTCGAAATGGAAAAAACGAATGAAGATGCATTATGATCGGAACACGTACCGACAAGTTGATATTTAATTGACTGTCAAGCATGAATCGCCTGAAACATTCATGGATCGATTAATCAAATGAAATACCATTGGTACGTTGTCGCTTGCTTCTGGATCGAGAAAATGAGGTCATAGTGAAGAAAGTAGCAGGCCGAGCTAAGTCGGAAGCGCTGCTTTTTTATAGATGTTCCAGCTAGTCTTCCACCCACCGTGCACTATCGTAGCTGTTTCCTATTAGTGCTTGATATGACACATGTTCTTCACCTGTGTCACTGTCGTCCCGTAACACCCTATTCCTTGAGAGGGCGCCTCCATTCGTCCTTGTCGCGATCCACAGTCGCCCAGTGGATCGCTTGAGAATCACGGGGCAAGCATTCCTTTCGTTTAGAGCATTCGTCAAAATTCTGATCATCGCGCTGGCGATCGTTGCGGCGTTAGTTTGACGTCCCGAGTGATACGCCCTGATCTAGCGCTTATCATAGTATTGCATCACCTGTCCGGCTCACAGATTTTCGATTTCTTGGCGCAAGCAACAACATCCCTGATTTCCCTTTCGCACTTGCGTGTGAAGGAAATTCTAATTAATGTCTGTGCCTTGGTGCGTTAAGTAACGCTGACTTCATGTTTATCCTGCCTTAGAATCCAAGTCTCCAAGAAGTAGTAATGCAGGAAGGACCGCAGTGAAGAAAAGATGAGCGCGGAACTGGACGTTTCGTGTCTTCTTCATTACTCCCTCAATATTTTTAAATGACCCCTTGCCGCATGTTTCCCTCTGCTCAGCTCCGGAGCTCGATCATTTAAGAACACATTGACTTCTTGACCGTTATACACGTGGCTATGACATTCAGAAAGGTTCGATGTTCTCAAATAGCAAAAATACAAGCCAAAGGGACCTCCACCTTTTGCGAAGTTTTACACATAGTATATGTAGTGACATAGCACAGCATGTGGACGTAGGATTTTTCCACTTAAGTAGTGTGCAGTACACATAGTACAGTTTTCATTATTACACATAATCCATTGCCATGTCCAGGCAATCATATCAAGCCTCTCTCGAAAGCTTTGGCACTTCGCTAGGGATCGATGGAAGGCATACAACCTTTGCAAGGGTGCATTATTACGCCCTCTTTCGCATAATCTTCCTTACTATATGGATACGCGTAAGAAGAGGAAGTTCTTCAAATAAGAACTCATTCATTCTCTCCAGAAAATTCGCTACATTTATAACTAGCAAAAGGCCAGAATCTCTATGGATTCCTGTGATGGCCACGTACAGCAAATTCGTTTCAGCTCGCGACCGCAACGGCACCTTCTGATAGACATTATTGGCCTCCTTTTGATCTTAGCTAACAGTCTCTTGAACTGCTTCTCCTGAGCTTTAAAAATGTCTTGGCTCTGAAGTGTCTCGAGCAGAATTGAGCAAATCCACCTTCACTGACTGCTAAGAGAGGTCACTCCACTTCAATGGAGTGATGACAGGTGCGTGTCACTATGTGTTCAAGGTTTTGTTTGAACTCTGCTAGTTTCTACTCTTAATTTTGATTTTTTAAAACCAGTCGGATTTCCCGGCTAACGCCGGGCTCTCCCCCTTTCCGTGTAGAGTTGGCCTGTGCCCACGCTCTTCCAAATTTTCACGCTTCGGTGCAGGAAAACAAAGTTGTAAAGAGAATAGATAGATAGATATTCCCCAATTTGAACGATGTTATGCCGCTTTGTGGGTATTGATCTCTTGACTAATAGATTGTCGTGGAATCGTTTCCATTCTGACCTTCTCGAGTTCCTCGAGGTTTGATTGTCCTGAGGCGGGTTCTGATTTTTAGTCTGTGACGTCATAAATAGACTGGTTATTAATCAACGGACCAATATAAAGAGCATCGGTTGACTTTCCATTCCACCTGTTTTCTCACCACGCTATTGTGATCTTCACGCTCTTGATCGTGCCTACGTGACTTTTGGGACGACACGCAAACGGGCATACAAACGGACACAAAGTTAGCGCTTTATATATATAGAGGATAGCCATTGGATACCGTTCAATGACTTTTTCTACAAACTCTAACTTTTTTTGCGTTCTAAAACAGTCAGAACATTATTGAATAATCGGCTTTGGCACCGCCCACCGTGTTGAAAACCCCGCCCACTTCGGAGATCTGACCACTTATTCCTTATAATTCCCGACCTTTTTTCTCGCGCGGCAAAACGTTTTTGAATAGAGCTATGAATTTTTGATCCCATCCCCGCTCACCTCAATGCAAAACCTGCTTACTCTGAGTTTTGGCCACATATCTTCTATAACCTCCTACCACTTTTTTTCCGCGTTCTAGGATGTATGTTAACAAAGTTATATTCAATTTTGAAAAACCTTCTATTTGAATTTACGCCCACGCCCATCGCGGGCGGAGCCCCGCTAAGTTGCTCATGCCCAGCACGTATTGAATCTTTTTCACTTCCATTATTTTTTTCTGGCCTCCGCGCCTCCGTTGAATCGAGTTATTTATTCATATGAAATGTACCGCTCATTTTGGGACGCTCCCCTCACAACCAGTGGGTTTTTAACGTCTGGTTTGTTCACCTTCTCCACACCTTTGTCTACTTTTCCCGGTGTCTACACCTTTACGAAGCCAAAATAAGACTTTTGGCTATAGGCACCGCCCTTTCCGGCCCTTGTCGCGCCCCTTGTGGACGGAGCTGCGCAGAGCTCATGTGTGCTCTATTACTCTTATCTCAGCCTCCACCCATGCCCAACTTGTCCTGACATTTGAAGATGCTTTGCAAGTGAAATCTAATTTTCCATTGAACATACAAACAAACACACGTACATACATACGTACATACATACTGACAGACACGCCAAACTCGTGGATTAAATATAGAGAGGATTTTCCGTTGAGAGCCCCTGCGGGTCCTATGCATCGTAGATTTTCCATTCGGATAATAACTAAAATATGAGGTAATCTTAATTGGTGATAGATTTTCGGTTGACCTTATGAAGGTGCAATAGGAAATATTCAATCGCCACATCAGACTTTATGGCTCCCTGCCATGCAAGCAGCCAAATTTCATGGTTTTGAGAAATTCAGTGCGAAATTGCTTACTCTATATAGGCCATCATAGAGGATTGGACATTAGCAGCTCTCTCGATACGATCTGCCTTTCCGGTGACATTTTTGCAGGCACCCTCAACAAAGACGTTGCCGTGTCCATCGATGTCTGTGCAGATTTTGTTATTGTAGAGGGACTCACAGTTATTCCCTGAAAACCATAAAATCGCAAAAAAGAAAAAAGATAAGAGCTTAAGTAAAAGCAAATCTGGAAGTGTAAAGGACACATGAAAGCATGCTGCACAATTTTGAAACGTCAGCAGTTGGTACCTGTTCCTTGTGAGTGGGGTCTCTAGTTGTTCAATCGATACAGTCCTCCGTTTCCATGAGGTAGAAGAAATTCAAGGAGCGGAGTTTAGACAAAAAGATTAGAAGCAGTGCGAGTGTTGCGAGTGCTCGTAGGAAGCGGAGACTTGAACATTGCCCCTCAAGAACAGTCGTGATAGCCGAACCGGAAGATGGGCTGTAGGATCTGTTTTGTGTAATCAATTCGTCGCACGTGGCTGTCGTGGACCGTTCCCTTCGCCTTTAACTCAGATCTAGCGTTCCTCATACAGCCCAATCGATATGCGGTCATTATTTCAGGCTAATACTACTGTTAGTTCTTTTGTTTTTCTATTTCTTACCTGCTGCTGCATTCTGCTACGTTCATTCGCGCGCGCCCTCTCGCCGCGAAGCAACATTTCGGTCCTACTGCACCACACCTAGCCGCTCCTAGTACCTCCTTGTAGTCAGCTTGCTTGCTCGTGTATGCAACCATAAATGAACTGCGATATATCAGCCATATTCGGGGATGGCTGAAAGTGACACGAACTAGGCGGTGGACTTGCTACACACTCCTCCGTCCCCCTGCGACGTCGGATCCGAGAAAGTTCAGCATTCTTTTTCTTCTTGCCTTATTAGCTGTTCCCTTACTGATAAATAATCCTACTTTATATAATTCGCTAAGTGTGTCGTTGGTGTGACGGTGTGTGTGTGACCGGAAATTCATGACTCCTGTACCCGTCCCAGAGGGGTATGGGTACATACGTGCGTCCGCGGAGGCGCGCGGCAAATTGGGAGGAGGATTCGTGGCAATTCGAACGTCTCTGGCGCCCATAATTAGGGTACAAATTTGAAAGTAGTGTAAAAAAAGTAGAAGGTAAAGTAGTTTAGTGGGAATCCCGTGCACAGGGAGCGGGGCGTGCGCGATAGAAATTTTGAGCCGCAAATCCATATTTTCTGTACCCGTGGACCCAAAGCGTTCAAAATTGGTAGGAGTACAGGGGCAAAATGGGAACACTTATCGCAGGTGGCAGGACCGGACTCCGCCTACAGAGGGCGGGGCGTGCGCGATAGAAATTTAAGGTTGCAAATTCATAACTCCTGTTCACGTGGACCTATTGCGTTGAAATTTGGTAGGCTTACACATTTCGTACTAGCAGTGGAACTACAGCATTTTAGTAAGTGATGTAGCATATGACGGGATCGTAGGTACTCGGTGACAAGAATTGATTATAACTGATAAGAGAAGATAATGGACCTGAGAGAGACCACTACCGATCAAAATCCTCGTCTTCGATATTTACGATGTAGCTTTGACCGTTCAGTGTGCTTCATTCGCTAGACGGGATGGTAGAGTAGGGTGACAAAAGTGAGTGGTAAGTGCAGTGGTAGGGACCCATTTGGGCAATACGATAAGCAGATTAGAACTTTGTTCATTTCTTCCTATTAGATTACGACCGCTATCCAGCAAGGTTTGTGATTCAATGAAGGGTCCTCTTTGGTCGATATCACTTGCGACAAAACTTAACCAACCACCAATAATCCAGAATTCTCAACTCATGATATCTCCGTAAAGAAAGGGGGCCAGTGATAAAGAACATCTCGTAACGGTGCTACCATTACTCAGAGCATCAACACAGCATCATATTTGATTGTCTAACAGTTGGATTTTCGATGGGTATTTATTTCTAAGAAAGAGAGCAAAAGTTCGAGACTTCCAGTCAAAGGCGTAAGCACCGACTTTAACAAAATACCATTTGCATTGCCGTGTTAGTCCTGTGTCAAATTTCGTGTGCAGGAAACTGTCATTTGTTTCAAAAAAGGAGTGGAGAGTTAGACTAACTACATCTTTATCAAAGGAGGAGGGATACTTTCGATTTCTGTTGTGCCAAAGAAGGATTTCGTGCTCTGTTTCAGTTCCATACTCTCACTCAGCTAAACAGCGAAAAAAACTTGAAAACTATAAGCCCTGGAAAAGGGAAAAAATTCTTCAGTTCCACATTTCACGGGATGGGGTGTTTGACACAAGAAGGAGGAGAGCCTGGCGTTAGTCGGGCGATCCAGTTGGTATTCATTGGAACGTGCCGGCTTCGCACTCGAGGGATGAAGCCCGAGAAGTAATATAGCCTTTTTCGGAACCCGATTCAGTTTACAATACTAACAGAATAATCATCGGCGCAGAAGAGATGATGCGCGCTCCACTAGGCCACAAATTTTTTCGGTGATGGTAGAAAGGCATACTTTTTCTAACAATGTCACGAGAAGCTCGACCCATGTGTGCCCAATCAAACGCGTAGATGAAGCGTCTATCGCGCACGAATAGTTCGCCTCATCTCGTTGCGTCATTCACCTAAAGAACTCACGTTGCACGTAACTGCTTCCCATGCAATCGACAATCTTTTCTACACCGTCATATAGTTTGATCGCATGGTTGAGATAGTAATAACCTTTGTGAATAGCCAAATTCTGATTCGCTAAGGTAAGTAAGAGAATACTGATACCGAATCCTCGAAAAAATATATATATTACTGTGCAGAAAATATTAGAAAATCTCTGAAGAATTGACGAGAACATCTTTCAGTTTTTCAAAACTCAAGAGTTAATCGGAATCTTTTGTTTTAATCATAAAAAACCTGTATAGCCGGATCCGTAGAGCAAAAAAGACTTCAATATACCACTTTGAAGATACTGGGAAACGAATAGCTCCAGATGAAGAATCGGAAACGATATGAGGAAAGCAATAAAGAAGTATATGATCAGAAAGAAATCTGAAATGTTCAGATTTTGATATCCTTCAAGGAGCATTAATTCTTCTGTTTACGAGGTAAAAGCGCAGGATTAAGCCCAGGGAAGCGCATTCGAAGGCGATACAGTTCTTGACAGGAGCATTCGTATCCATAATAGGAGTGCTCTGCTACGATACTAGATGGAAGTCAACCATCAGAATTAAAAGGAGACGCATCTATAAATATTCAAATGATCCTCAAGCGACGAGTATCCCGAGCAACAAAGGAACATCATGTTTCTCCATTATTTCTACGCCCTTTTGACTCCAAAGTCGCCTGGTTGGATCGAGAGTTGCACGCGCGTGTAAAGTGAGCGGTACCCTTGTGTTTTATCTCTCACGAGAGACCTAATCTATCTTATCATAATAAAGTCACTCTCTAGAGGGATAATTCATGCTACGTGCTAGGGATGTACATAAATCTTCTCGTAGACGGATTAGAGAGCTCAGCTTTATTCATTGTAATCTCTCTGCGTGATTGGGAGGGAGGAATTCACTGCATTTGCCAGGTCACCGAAGATCCAGTGAGCGAGGCAAGTCATGCCATTGCGGTAGGTTGGACCACAGCCGAAACAAAAATGACGTAAAATGTGCTCAACTAGCAGAAAGGGAAGAAGTATTACGTAAAAAACTTCCCCTAGTGAGGCTATGATCATACTATCGTGTCATGATAACGCAGATGAAACAATGGAAAGGACTTCTTCTTCACTGTCTTTTCTCATTCCAGTGAAAGTTTAACAACTGGAAAGCGTGAAAGCGCTGGGAGGCAGCGCTTACCACGACATACAACTAGTTACTTTTGTCATGCCAACAAATCTTCGCAAGAAAATTCATCCATTCATCCAGCATCAATCCACTGTTCAATGTATTCTACTCATGATCTATGATTGACTACATGTTGAAAATATTCACTGGCTGTTTGGTAGTCTTGTGCTCTAGTTCGAAAATAACTTCCAATTACCGTCCGGACTTCATGAACAGGGTTCATTACTCTGCTCCCAAACGATTCTGCATGATAGTGAGAACATGATACAATGGAATGAACCATGCTCAGTGAATACGAAGATGAGGGAGGCATGCCTACAATCCGAAGAAACCTAACTCCTGAGCGGTCATGCTTTCTGTATGCGACCTAGCGAAGTCGTAATAAGGGTCCATCGTCTGCGATCCTCGAACTACAGAGCTTTATCTGGAGCTACGTTTCGAATTCACTGGCAAATAATTTCTGTGAGCAAACTATAGCATAATTACTGATAATGAAGAGGCTTCCATGCCAAAGTGTAAAAATACTTGGATTCTTATTTGTCTAAAAACTGAGGAGAGCTGAAGATGCTTCTCGCATGCTTTGTTCAACACAACATAAAGGCAAAACCTTGAGCTCTGGGGAATTTAAACTTTACAAAATAGAAAATACATCTATCAAAACGAACGCGAAAATTTCCATTCAAACACTTACATCCTCCATTTCTCAGAACCTCGATAGGGAATGAGAACAACGTGTCTGTTGAGCATAAAAGAGCAACGATTACAATAGCATCAGTTGCCGACTTCCGGAAGCTTTCCAGTGGAACAGCGGGCCCTGAAATAGTAGAACGAACTATAGTATTTGCATTGTTAAAACGGTGCAATGCATACGCTGATGTATAAAACATGAACAACTAGCGAACAGGCTTAGAATTTTAAGAAACGAAGGTATGGATCAGTTGAAAGATGGATGTGGACTACGCCTCATAGAGAAGAGATCGAAAAAAGGGCTGACACAAAGTAGAGCTCTTCTCATCTTCCACTGTTATGTGAGCCTTTGGCGACTTACTTGATACAGAAACGAAAATTCAATACGGGCACCCGATTCTTACTGTAATCCAACTATGGGTCCCAGCTGGTCCGAACGTGTGCTTTTGATGCAATTCTACCTTCTTAGCCTCTGTAATTGTAAGAGCTAAGTGCCCGCACTGAATATTCGTTGCTATCCTACTTGGTAGAGATACTTCCACTCATTCTCGTCTCCATTCTCTCTTCGCAACAGTAATCAACCTGGTTGACGTCGATGACTACTTTCTACTTTGAAGAAATTTGGTTTGAATAGGGCGCAATCATGAGAAATATAATCGAAGACACCCACAAAACTCAAATGGACTTCACTGGACTTCACTGGCCGTGTTCGTTGGGGAATCAGAGCAAACTTCTCACTCACGCCATTCGGCAGTTAAAGGCGGTCTTTGCATCCACGGCTGGGGTTTTATCTAACCAATTTTCACAATCTAATTACTAAAGTGATGGAGCATAAGAATGACCACTACTATATGACCCGTTCGGCGATCGAGAGTGATGTTGAAAACTGGAGCATCAACCGATAAAGGCATCAATAAAATATTGGGTAAAATAGGAAAAGAATGCGCAGTGTTTCCAAAACCAATCGTTCCTCGAACTTGCAAGTGGAATACGTGGTTCAAGGTATTTATTATAAGATTGAACAAATGGGGAACTAACTGTAAACCGTAGTTGTCTCAAAAATACTCTCGATATCTTGAGTTTCAATCTGTAAAATGTAGGTTCATTATTTCTGCCTGAGAAAAAACCATATCGGTTAACTTGGGAAAATCGCATTACCATATCTTGCATCAGAGTCGCTCTTCGGCTGCTTGGCGACTTGGGAGTCTTAAATTAATCGTATTACACTGTACAGCTTGATGAAGAAAAATAATGCCATAATTAAGCGATTTATAGCCGGCGCCAAAGCTCACAGGAACAGTGAATAGGATGGCATGTAAAAGGGAGAGCTACCAAGGAGAAAATGCAGGTGCTATTAATCAGTAGCATGAAAGTGTCGAAGTGGCGAATAGGCTAAAGGCCGTCCTAAACGTCAACTCAATAGTGTCCTGGATACCGGAATTTCAGGGAAGGATGCTTGAAAGACACGACGTTAAACTGCAAGAAGTCAGACGTAACGCTCGAAATCCTATAAGGTTATCCATTTTCGTCTAATTGGTCTAGTGCCAAAATTCCTATTTCACGTTGAGACCCTGTATATAAAAAAATTTGGATGAAGAGGTAATTTTGGAGGGGAAGGGAGAGAGGTGGCATTGCTCTTCAACGGTAAGCGCTATAGTGCAGAGTAGGAGGGTTAGTCGTTTTCGCCAGTTTATCGCACGAGTTGATGTCGTCCTTTCACTACGTAGGAACGTATGAAGTGTAAGTTTATAGAGAATTTGCAGCAAATACACTTACCGATGATGGCCTCGACTGCGCTATAGAGCGGGCTGGAGATAAGCCTAGCGATCTTGATAGAACCTTTTTCATAAGGCTTTTCTTGGATTTTGAACTCCTGGATTTTCCATGCCTGGGAGACTTTGTACTACTTGATTTCCTATGCATTGGAGATTTTGCTGTCAATGATTTTCCGCTTTTGGGTTTACTTCCAGCTATACTGCTGGGTGTGGTGCGCGCAAGGGATACTGTCTTCGATCTAGCTGTTGTACTTGAGCCACCCTGAAATAGAGTAGCTACACATTGAAGAATAAGAAGAAACGGAGGGGAATGACTCGGAATTCTTCCAAGGTAATGGCATCTGAATAAGTCACCAAATAGGGCACCTTTAAACTCAATCCCAAAAGACGACGAGGAGGTGCTTTCATAGTGAACTTGTTGCAGTGCCCTGTTCCGGCGCGACATCCTCTAGGAAGACTCCCTATACTAGGCTTATATACAGTCACTCACCGGTCTTTCCCATCCTAAGCTCCCTCGTTCATACATCGAAGGGCTCCGAGTGCTGTCAAAACTCAGATAGCTCAAATCGAGGGTTAGCAGACAATTAGACTGGTGAGATACATTTTTTATACCCACAACTGAGATAGGATTTTCCCTACCCTGTCGCTTTATCGGCAGAAACTGCGCGGGGCAAGCGCAACATTCAGATTTTCGCCATAGGTCACTCAAATATGTCAGGGTGAAACGAGGAAACTAGGGAAGCCAATAGAATGTAAACAGAACGCTTGTCCAAGGACGACTGCTGGAAGCCGAATCCATCTATCACGCGGAGCTTTGACTGCCACGTTCAGCTCCCTGTCGGACTGATCAACTTTACAGCTTACTAAATCAAAAACCCTTCATGTGTCATCCGAAGGATCTTCTTCTGTTCACGCTTGCTCATCCCCGGAGTGCCGGTCACATAGTGAAACCCACCCACCTACATACACATATGCACACATACATACACCAGTTCGAGCAAAGATACAGAAATCACAGCACACATACAGGATTCCCATCCCCTATACAGACTCACAGCAGTATCTATAAAGCTCCTCACCCTTACCTGAAACGCCCCTGCTGTCACAAGTAACCTACATGAACTCGGAAAATATCAAGTAGAGAAGAACTCACAGTAACATCCTCAACCATTGAAAGAGGCTTGCTTCTCTGAAATAAAAAAGCCCGATGCAGAGTATAAGACATGTTTTCGAGCGACCAAACCACCAGATCTTCTGGGAGGACTAGGGCGGGCACCGTCGCCGACTCTCAAATTTCTCGCTTATACTTTTTTTTCTATTTCCCTCTAACCTTAACTATTAGATACCTATACCAAGAGCTTTGCAGAGGACGAGCAGTGGCTCAAATCTTGCATCAATTAAGCTGAAGCCTTGATTATGTAAATGATTTCACAAAGAGGAAGCGAAGCCGTGAAGAATTTCCCCTTCGTCTTGCCGAGGTAGAAACTGCGCCTGGCATCTGGCATTCCCAGGTGATAATAAAGTTATTATGTTATCACCAGCTTTCTAAATCTAATCCTACCATGCCCTTCTATATGAAAATTTCACATAATTCACTTCATCCTGTAGGGTCGGTCGCACATTAATGTAGAAAGAAACTCAAAAAAGATATTAATGTAGGCAAAACTCACAGTACCACTGCCTGTATCACTTGCCGAGGGACGCTTGCTCTGGAATGGCAAAGCTAAATATGCTGACGCGAAAGCAGGAAATCGTATAGAGAGAACCTAGTGCTGTAAGGAGAAACAAAAAAATTTGACTGTACTCAGTAGTATGTACTTACTGTGCTAATGGCAGTGAGTTCTTTTGCAGATTTGCCTTTTTCCATCGTAGCTGCGACCAACTCACTTCCAGAAATATGTCCTCTTACGCTCTAAAAATTTATAATCATTTCACTATGATTCGTAATCACTTCACTATGAAGAAGTCACGTAATTAAAATATTAGCAAACTCGTCTCTGCGCTTGCCCTTTCACTTGCCCTTGCATTCTCTACCGCTTTCAAGATACAATAAGCTTGCGGGGGATTAGAACGGAATTAGTGGTTATCTAGTACGCATCATTAACAGGGCCAGGCGAACAGTCAGCAGTTGCAGATACTTTCTAGTTCGTATTGAGAAACGCGAGCTTGCTGACACCATATGCACGCGATCCGCGCTGCAATACGGTCCAAATGGTTGGGAATTGGTCCATGACAGAGATATCTCTAATCTTTCTCAACGCAGCAAAAAATCTGTGGTGACTATTGTAACACAAGCTGCTTAAAATCAGAAGATCTCTTCGGAAAGGCATCGAGCTCCTAATGACCTTCAAAAACGCCTAACCTACCTTCGAAGGTTACCTGTCTCAGCCGATTAAAACAACACCTGGAAGAATCACACACAACGAAACGTACCTTCAGCAACTGAGGTCTCCACTACCTTTCTTCGAATAGCCGACCTTTTCCTCTTCAGACAAATAGCTGAAGTGATTCCTACCGCATGATAACATCTCTCATATGCTGAAAGCAATCATGATAAGCTTTCTGTTATGCATTTAACTTTACCATTAACATGAGCTCACTAAATACACCGATACGACCGAATACCAAGCTGGGTGTTTCATTTGTAAGCGCACATGCTGATTTTGTTCCCCTTTGATGTTACCCAAAACCTCCAAACGTTTTTGGGTAACATCAAACTGCTTGGAATAGTACTTGAAAAAATGAAGTGACGAAATGGCTCAGAAGTCAGGGTCCCGAAGTACCACACGTTTATCGTTCGAAAAAGGTTCAAAAAGAATGGAATCTGGAATCTGTCAATTGATTGAATACTATAAGAAGGCAAGAAAAGAAAATAATAACTTTAGGTCATTAACAACTGCCAAGCATTTCTACAGCCTAAGTATTACGCAACTTCAAAAGAATCCGATAAAATCAAACAATCGGCAGTGAGAACTTCCTGTTTCCTCTGTTGAAAAGTAAATAAAGTGAAATAAAATGAAAGCAAATATAATAAATGCAAACAATCGTGGGAACACAATACAAACGTGTACACAAGAACGCCTTCCATCTACCAATCAAAAATTGAATGGTAGTTACCCTGGGTCAAGAACTAACCGAATTGGAGCATATACCAAGATGTTCTGATCTATACTGTGCTACCACTACCTGGAAGGTCCCATTCTCCCTGTACCGACACCTTTAGAAATGTCTTAATGATGCTCGAGACAACATCCTCAAAAAAAAAAAACAGAAGAAAAGGTTTCGGTAGATGGAAATAGAAGAAGGGTTCTAGGAATTTGAACAAGAGGGGTCTGTACATCAGGCGTTCGAGTCAGGACCCACACCCGGGTAAACAACTTTTCCCGAACAGATTCGCTGCTTACTCAGTGAGGCGAAAACTTTTTCGTGGAGAGCATGAAGACATTCAGAACTGTAACAAACTCTCCCCTGACCTACAATGGCCTTAGACTTTAAGGAGCTCTTAGAAATGAATGGTCAAACGAAAATGGCATACATTATGTTAGATTACTGGTGGTGTACCATATTTTCGATGGGCTGCAAGTATAGCCATTTGAAGGCACAATTAACGGTAATTTTAGGGTGTCGAGTTTGACATGAAAAGAATAAAAGATAGTCCAGAAGTGTACAAAAGAGACGAAGAAAAAGCGAAAGCAGGCGTTAAAGAAAAATAGAAGGCTTTGAAAAATCAGTAAGATCATAGATTGGACGAGAATGTGACCTTAAAAATTGCATGGCTGGGATGAGCTGTCCAAATGGATGTGCCATTGCTTACAGCCAGCTACAGTAAGCTGCCTGCGTGCAGCGTGTGGGTCGCGAATGATGCAACCTCTACAGCCTCTAGAACACCGTTGTTACTCGTCTCCTTTGGGTGTGTATGTATGTCGGCCAAGCTGGTTTCGGGGCCTCCATTACGCCCTATCTAAAACGTTTTTCGACCCGTTAGTCCCTTTGCTATCCTTGGGGTCACTGATGTATTTAGGGAGAAATATCAGGAATCATATTTACCGTAAACGGGGCCTTTGGCAATTACGTCCCATATACAGCGCTGTTCTATATACATATAGGTCACTATAGGAGATTTGCAAATATTTATCAATACAGTTTGACAATTTCACGAAAATAGCAGAGCTGATACAGATCAAACTTTCTTTTTGAATACGAGAATATTCGATCCAGACAAGATTCCTAGTCGACCGCCATTTACAATCTTTTCCACAGTGCCAGAAAGGAAAATCCTGTTGAACTTGTGGAAACCTCTGGGGAGAATTCGAAGTTTCTGAGCGATGTTGACCAGATTTCCTAAAAAAGGAAAGTCTTAAAGAGGACAAAAAGTTCTCAAGTGATCTGATTTTAGAAGCAGCTATCAGGAGACTACACGAACTTGACTGACTGTAATTGAATTAGAACGGTGGATCGAACTAGTGAGATGCACCACATCCCCGCAGCCCTTCTTATCATTTTCAGAAAGAAATCTCCTCACCTTTGAAGAGCAGATGCTCATCAGATGGGATTTACCTATGACCTCTATAAAGTTCCAAGGAATAGCAATCAGGGTTCGCTACGTGGAACGAAAAGTCGTGGACATTATTCCCTACTCACATCTTGATTTTTTCACGTCACAATTCTCGGGAAAAACACTTTCCATGGGTACTGACCAGATCAAGGAACTTTCGAATTTGAAAGGAGTGAAAGCGGGTAATAAAATGTAGGGCTGCCACTGCAAAACCGATCACAAGATCGAATCCCAGCTTTGGCATTATCCTGTCAATCAAACCCACGACTCCTTCGAACTCAGGTAATCACTAGCGGACTCAATACGACTGGAAGGATAGAAATACCGGCTCGTAGGACTACCGCACTTCCTAGGTCGATATCTAATGGTGAAGCAGAAACCTTTTCGAATTCTTCGGCTATGCTGAGTTAAAGTTGAGTGCGTGGCGCATTAGAGATGGCTACCCGCAGTTTAATGAAATTAAAGACGGCCAATAAAAAAGCATATAGGACGAACTCACTGATGAAATGACTTTCGACGAGCCACATGAAAATGGGCGAATGTGAAAAACAATAGTGAAATGGGTTCTCATTTGTCACTGCGAGATCCTCTTCTTCTTCGAAAATCAGGCCGAATCTGAACTTAGTGAAATTGACCTCTATCACTTGCACAGAAAAAGCTATACGGACAGAAAAAGTAAAATAAAATAAAAATAAATAAAACTAAGTAAAAGTCAGCAAGTTTCATGCACGACTTACTGCTCGGCAGCTGCCACCATCTCGGCCCGAGTGTGCAATGAAGGCATTCCACAGGCGTGCTCAAGGCCTTCTACAATCTAAAACTATTCGGATTTCACTTAGGGCTTTTTATTTAAATAGACAACTCTTCGCAAAAATGCGATGACTTCTGAAAATTTAGTCAAAAGAATCAGCAGCTAATCTATCAGAGGTGCTCAGAGAAATCAAACAGTTTTATTTTATTTTCATCGTATTTTCGCGAATAAGATGGAGAATGGCCTTACCGTACGTCTTTACTCACCATTACCATTCATTTATGATTTTTTATTATCAAGATTACGACTATTAGACAACTACAAACACGTACAAGTCGCAAAAATCATCGAAACACTTGGCTTTACTGATTAATACGAACTGTTAGCTAAGCAGCTCAAACAACCAGAAATATGCGCATAGAGGAAAGTACATTACTCATGGGGAGCCTCGAAAATGATTATCTAACCATGAATAACTATTTCGCTTTTTCTGAAGTAGTTCGAAGTCTGCAGGACAAGGAGAATCCCATAAAAAGCAGTTAGGTTCCAGTTTGTTCATTCAGATATCATTGAGAATATGGAACACAGTCAATCCATGCACAAGTCAGTGTCAGCGCTTTTATCATACCGGATGAATCCGGCACCAACTGATTGGTCCCAGAAAGGCGGAAGACTCGGTGGCCTAGGCTGGTATCAATCAGAGAACCGATCTCATGGTCAGACCATGCACAAGTTAATGCGCCATTTGTTCACTCGGCAGTACCCCACCTCCAAATTTTACTTCCATCTAGATTTGAGCAGATATTAAGAGCATAGAACAGCACAAGGATCGAACTGGGTTCAACGTTTCCCTCGTGAATTGTTCTCCTTTTCCAAAAATTACTCTCAACTAGATGAAAAGCAGATAAAAACACCTCACGGACCGTATATATGTACATAGATGCGCAGACCTATCCAACTATTTCCAAACACACTGAGTTACGATTCGTCAATCTTTTGTTTGTTAACTGCTGTTATTTCGCTGCAGTACGTCATACGAAAGCCTTACAAGCCTTACAAGGTTGGCGAGTAATGGACAGAACTCCGGCCTTGGACGGTACGAGTATCGTCCGAGGATGAAATTTTGTCCATAACTCACCATCCTTGTGAGATTCATCCATTGTTTTCACAGTACTACTCGAAGTACTGTAGTATTACTTCAAACCGGGAAATAACATTCAGTTTTACAGGTCCATAACATTCGATAAACGACACTTAATTCTTATCTGTGGGAAAAGGGAACTGCTTGCCATCTGTTTTGAAAGAGCTAAATTCTGTAGTCAAATTCGTACTGTAACCTCGAATTGCTTCATATCGCCAAGTACTCTTACAAGTACTGTCACAATTTGGACCAATGAATCAAAGTGTCTGACCTGAATATGAGTCTCATTCTTCTCGTCATATTTTTCGGTCTTAATTAGATCGTATACCAAGAAGCGGCCACCAGGTTTCAAAATCCTAGACACCTGAAAAATAGCAATTTTTCAAATTACATGGTAACGTTTCGTAGCAAAGGACCATCAAAAAAATTGATTTCTAGAATTATCGATTTCGAAGGCTAAATATTGTGACCACTTCACAGTTTGCTACCATGGACCATGGCCATTAAGATGGCCAGAGCTAAACCTCGTCAAAATTCTCAAGAAGGTAAGGAACACACCTCTTTCATTACTCCGTCCAAATTAGGAAAGTACTTCAACGAGTAGACAGCATAGGCTGCATCTTGACTACCGTCATCCAGCGGCATGTCATGACAATCTCCCTCCATTAGTCGGCATGTCGAATCAATACCCAACTTGCGAAATTCTTTGTTACCTGAAAGAAGAACACATTGAAACTTGTCTAACTTATTAACAGACTACCACATAGTGCCAGGGGATAGGACGAACGAAATCAAGAAAGTCGGAGGCGCGGATGGTCAATTGGGAGCTTTCAGAGTTCAACGAAGTGTGTGCATTGTCTCACCGACCGACGGCGTTGCTGACCACGTGTTAACAACACTGGACATCGATTGATATTGCTCACGCGGCCTTTAACACAATCTGTCCTGCATTGACAACACGTGGCTAGCAACGCCGTCGGTCGGTCGGCCGGTCGGTGGAAAAAATGCATGTCGTTTAACCCTGAAAGTACCCATTGGAGGAGCGAAAAATGCTTAGTTACGGAATAGAACTAATAATATTAAATAATAAAAACGAATTAAATAGTAAAAACGAGTATCCCCAACGGATTCAGAGTACCGTAATTCCACTTTACCGAACAACTACTAATGGAAGCAGTAGCGGTGGTAAAGAGGTAAAGTTACAGGCAATACCTACGTAGTAGAGATCAAATATAGAAACAAGAGTTATAAAATACAAATTTTAACAAAATTTTTGCTTTTGTTAGCGACATCACCTACCAATTTCCACCTCGTTGGCAGCAATTGTTATACCAATTAGATTAGCCTGAGTGGAGGCCAGATCCTTCATCACTCCACCGATGCCACAACCGAGATCCACGCACAACATACCAGCAGCCAAACCAAGGCGTTGACCAATTTTCCTACAGTAAATGTGCAATCCGAAAACTTTCCAAATTTTCTTCCCAGTTCCTACCTATGAAGATCAGTCAAAGCTTCTTCGAGCGACAACTTCTCGTGTCTCGGAGGTGCGAAGTGGAAATTTCCTTGAATCATAGGATAAAGATAAGTGGAAGGCCCGATCATAGTAGGCGAATATGCAGCCAGCTCCCTACATGGGCTGCTGACGGCCAGTTCACCTTGTATGATTGTATGTTCGGTTCGAGGAACGATCTTAACGAGAATGAGCTCATACAAACAAACCTCCAAAGTACTCATCAATAACTTTGGACATGACTGAATAGTAGTGTGAAGTGACCGCCAGATGATCACCGGTGATTTTTGCCTCCGTGAACAACCGATCATGTTCTTCGATGAACTCGTTCTGAAATTTTTTGAAATGGAGTTGAAGAGTTTCGAACTATCTAGGCTATATTGTTAAATTTTAGTGCATGAGCGATATGTAAATAATCATTCCAAGACGCAACAACCGCCCATAAATGACATAAACTCGCTTTTGCTGAATCAGATCCCGGCTCGAATCGTGAGAAGTTAAACTGCTTAAAATTAGTAATTAGGTAACTGTTGTGGAGGAGGAATTGACTGAGAACAGACTCAACCAAGTGGGAGCCGAAACGTCGACAAAACATTTGTCTTTTTCTAGCAAAGTTAGTTCAAAGCCTGCTATGCCTCTGAAATAGACTCTTTTTGCGTTGAGAGCGCAGAACGCGACCATGAAATTGTCGCATCACAAAGGAGAATCTGTTGAAATCCCAACTATTACCGTAAACTCGCATCACTGTTTCACACTAACAATAGTCCTAAATTGCTAAAATGCAACACGTACAAATTATGCACCACCAAGGTTAGAAAATATGGGATTACGGTAAGAATATAGACCTTCGGTGTTTTTTTGTTCATGTGCCAACCAAATCTTTTACCGTTCTGGGGTCGGTTATTTGACACCAGATTCATCTAGGAGGATGAAAGCACTATTTATACAATGGCTCGCCAATGCATGCTATAGCATAGGCCACATACGCACTGTTAACATTGTTACGATGCAACATAGAAGTCGAATGCGTGGCGCAACCCACAAATGACGCTATCATTTTGGCCTATACACACAAGAAACAATCAAATGAAAGCTACGAAGAGGGGGAATGGGCAGAAGCGAACAAATGATTCCGGAACAATTTAAGGATGAGTGCCACGATAAGAAATTTGAAGAAAGAATCTTTCTGCCACGGCTTGATAGGAGAAAGATGCTAAGAGAAAGGACTTGAAATGGAAATGTGGTGACCTAGTGGTAGCCAACCCGGGTTCTTTGATCAGAAGTTCAACGAGAAAGTGGTCTGTGCGGTCATGCACGTGGGGAGATATGTTTGGAGAAGTATAATACGATACGCGATTGCGAACAGAAGTCCGCAAACATATAGACAACTAGAAATGACGTGCAAAGATCAAACAGTCAGTGCCAGGTTCAGTTTCTTGTAATAAGAAAGTAAAAAAATAAGTTGGATTTATAGAGCAAAAGTGAATATATCAAAGAGTCGTCAAGCAATTGTAGAGGTAAGTAATTTAATTAGAAAGCAAAATCTTGGTGTATTATAAAATCAATCAGCAAAACTCGCGAACTCCAAAGTTTAAGTAAAATCGAGGATGACCTGAATAAGTGACGACTATAGGGGGTCAAGGTTATCGGCGGCTAAGTATTTCGGCCATCGCCTTTGCATAAGAAGTTCGATTGCAGTCCACAAGGTGAAAGACACCTGCCACCTAAGTCTCACTCAGTCTAGACAACTAAAACGTACCAGATCGTGACGTCTGAAATGCATGAGCAATTTCAGATAGTTCCTTTTCATGTCCACAGCCATTTTGCAGTAATCCCTCGGCTCCTGCAACCTCTTCGTTTATGAAATTTATAACAAGGCTGCAAGGAATTGAATAATGAATAATATGGAACAGAACGTTGAGACCTTCGACCGAAGGACGATGTCCGGCGCCCGAATAGGCGGGGCATCGTTTGAGTACACACGGAGCGGTACGACGGATCTTAGACTTTCCTCGCTTTTCCATGGAACCTCCGACTTCCGCGCTATTGCCGATCATTCCGAAAGACACAAATTGAACAACTAAATCAATAGGTAGATATAACGAGCCTGAAGTTTTACACACAGCTTTCAGAAATCGGTAAAATTCGAACTACCCTTACTGCTGAGTGAATTCCTCTCCCAGCTTTGTGAATTCCGTTTGAGATCTTCTCGAGAGAGTGATAGGGAAAAATGAATAAGGGTTTATTTGAACTGAATGAATGCAGAACAAAAATGTTATCCAAACAAAAGACAACATAAGATGCTCTTAAAAGTCCTTCTATAATAGTATCAGACCAGTAGATTTAAAGTAACTAGGCGTACTGTAGGGCTCGCCTCTTGATGCAGATTCCGTCTTCAGGTGTAAGGAGACCGGAACTACAAAAACCCCTGACATCTCATCTTACAAAATATTGTTCGTTGCCCCATGGAAAAGCTTGAACTCTCTCCCTCCCAAGGTTACAACACCCAGTTATTCTTTTCTGGTACATTACCAAAGTTGATTGCAAAAAGGGGATTCTGAACAAGTACCCAGTAGATTTTCAAAGGTTTCCCAGTCGTTGATAAGTAACTGTTTCATTCGTAAAAACAGTTCTCATTCTTTGAAGAAAAACTAGGGAAAGACATACATTCAGATTACATTCGATTCAAAGTACATACTTTCGTCAGAGTGCCTACGTTTATAATGCTTCGACCCGTCTCCTAAGATACGTCAGCCACTATGAGCAACCGGCTGACGGGAAATTGAGCAATTCCGTAAGGAAAATAAGCGGGGGAGAAATTTCCCCAGCAAAAAGTCTATGCAATTCTGAAAACGGGGCATATACGTTGCAGAACGTCGCTTACATTACCATTGATGTTATGATTGACGTCCCGTTTTGGAATCACATTGAAAGCTCATCCTTTAGACCATAGACTGAACTGGTAGTTCACTATGCTAGTGAGTTGCCATGGTTTCAATGTTTTCGCCTTATTTTCTTACAGGACTGAGCACAACAAATGTTTTAGAACAATTAATGTAAGGAAAGGCCTAAACTTCTAGGACTTTGGCTGGTTGCCAACCGACCTCCCCTGACTATCTCGTCTTTCAACGACAACATCTTTCCAGGCTGATCCTTCTGCCAACATCTACATTCGCCGGTGATTGATACTCTCCCTTTTGCAGCAGCGTGATTTCTGTGGATGACACAATTCAATAAAGATCAATCTTCGTACGTGAAAGTGAAAAAGAGACAAATGATGGTTCTGTGCAAGTGCAGACGCCAGTATCTACGTATGGAAGGCAGTTCAGATCCGTTCCGATCACATTTTATGCGGCGAGTTTGTCAGACAACTTTCCACTTCCACGAGATCGATTTCAATACGATTTGACCTAAAATTCCATTACAGCTACTCGTGCGGTCGACTTATACTCGGCGTTTCTTTTTTCAGGGTCGAATGCGATCCAATTACTATACCTCACACAGGGTCAAGCGCTGTCTTGCATAAAATGGTCACGCCGGAGTGATTCCTGACTTTCTATCTGGAATATGATCCTTATACAACCACGCCTACCATATTTCCTCTGAAAAAAATCGCAGAAAAACGAGAAAAATGGATGGTGCCGTCTCATAGTATAAAGTTCCCTTTCCCTAGTCCTTTGCCCAAACATCTGCTTATTTTGTTCACACTCGTAATGACTCTTTTGAAGAGAATTACGCAATGTACGCTGAACCCTGATTCCACTCCGAACACTCCTTCATTCATTAAACTTACTTTACTATGGTAGGGTAAGTATTCACGAAGAGCCAAGTTAGTAGAGAAAGGTCTGCTGGAAGATAAAAACTTCCAAAATGCACGCTCAACAATGGAACATTTCGGCCGAGCCTTATTAACAACAAAGAAATCTTGCGTCAAATTTTGTTAAACATACCTTTCGGTGATGCGATTTAACCCCTTTCGTTTCTTCGAAGGATTAGCGAGGCGACTCGCGACAGGCGTCGAAGTAATGAGCCATAAAATTGGGGCATAACTCCCGCCACGATACCTTCAACAAAACTGCCGGAGATTTTATTTATCTATTCGGTTACCAATACTTATAAGGTACTTAAAGGATAAAAGGATAAAGTTTTTGGCGTTAATCAATCCCGTCTGAGGGATGCGCCCCGCACTCGACTTCCTTCCAGAATGGTAGTGGCCTAACGCTGCGTATAAGGCCTATACAATTACTTGCGGTGGCCAGCCGATGTACAAGTCAGTGCTTTTATCCTCCCAGACGAGTCTGGTACCAATTCACCGACCCCGGAGGGATGGAAGGCTTGGTTGGCTTAGGCGGGCTTCGATCCGGGATTCGAACCCCTGACCGTGCGTGTGATAAAGTGCGCCACTTGCCACTACACCACCTCCGCCCTATAAGGTACTTACAAGGAAAAATATTTACAAAAGGACGAAATCAAGTAGTAATCAAAACCAAAAATAAAAAAACTGGAGAAGAAATAAATAGATCCTTAGATGCGCCATAAACCATTGGAACAATTTGAAATCTCGAACATGTGTTAGAATGTTATTGATAAGTTTAGGCTGCTGACCATGAGTTCAGCTTCATACCAACTGGCACTATATTAGGTTCATTTTGGATAAGCCATACTCAGAAACCAAAGGGTCATCCAGTCAGTCGTGGGGTCGGTTTCGAATTGTCACTCAGAATACCTACGAAAAGACATTCAGAAACCTACTCCATAACTCCTACAGGAGGGAAGTATTCGTAAAGGAGTGGGAGAATACAATTTTGAGAAAGCATATTCTTTCAATATTGGGGAAGGGTTATTCCCACATTCTTGATGAGCTTATTCCAACTGCATCTGAGAGGAGTTTGGTGGACAAAGAGGAGGGGATCAAGAGTAAAGATGAAAAAGCAAGAGCCTCAAAAATTCATTCACTCATATTTATCCTACGAAGTCCAGAAAAAGGTTTGGTAGTGACAAAGATGTCTCCCTATAACGCGGACTAACATCCAAGAACCCAACTGGAACGAAGAAAATTAGCCAACTAAGCGACCTCAGAGGGATCGAGGATAAGAAGGCCAGCTAGCATGAGACTCGTCTGAAGAGCTATCCGATTCAGAGATCAAATCTCTTACTATACCAAGTCACGTCTTTAATTAATATTCGCATGGAACTTCCCGTGATTCAAAAATAAGTGGAGTGCACGGCGCGCACCAAATAAAAAAGACTAATTGACCCTACACAGTTCTTTCCTATAGCTATACGGAATCAATCAAAATAATCAATTTTGGATTAATGATAACTTCCATGCGATATCTATCGAAAAACAACGCCGCGCAACTACTTTAAGGTATACAGTTAATAAAAAAATTTATTAGGCCTAAATACACAAAAAAAAACGATTCCAGTACACAACAGGCAGTAATGAACAGCGATGGGCGACAAAAGCATCGATTACTCGTTGAATAATCATTTCGATGGTACGAATAAAAGCGAGGATTCGAAAAAAAAGAGGAAGTAACGCTGAGAAAAGCGTACGCATAACAACCGAAGGGAAATCACCGGACATTAAACAGACTAAAGCTACTAATTTGATCGAATAACGGGTGTGGAATGCTAGAGAATACCATGCTTGCTGAGATATTTATGAGTAAAAAAGTACATACGGGCTGGCAATGGCCATCACAACAAGAGAACGAAGCTCGTGAGTCTTCTGCTTTGTTCGAAGGCAGCACTCCACAAAAAAATATTGACGGGATAAACGAAAATAAAAAACGAACACAACAAATTCTCAGATCCTCTATGGAGGCGGCAATCTTTCCACCACGACGCGGAGCATAGCGGCAGCTCGGGCAGCCGCATGAGCCTAGAAATATGAATGAGAGTTATATAAGAAGATTCTGGAAAAAGCATCAAACTCGCTTCGGGAGCAGGGAACACCTTGAGCCGTGGGTGACATACTTGTTATTTAACCCCTACTTTCCCTCAGTGAGAAGTAATTCAGCCCTGCGCTCACAGTGTCCACTGCATTCCCAATTATATTTAGCCAAAAACGTACCTGCCACAGTTTACTGGCTCGACTGAGGCCATGTTGGTAGTCAGCGATACCTCTGATCAAAGTCCACGAGTCGATGCGAGATCCACTGATGGCCGCAATGACTGAGTCGAAGCCAGCATCCAAAGCGCGCAACTCGAACTCCTCGCCGAACTTCGTACGGAATGTTCCCACAGACTCCTCTTCGGTCTCTTCGAAGTGTCGTTTAAAGTTCGCCAGGGCTCCAATTGGACCAAGGTGAATTTCTGGCCCTTTCCTAGTTTCCTGATTGGGATGTGGAACGACTACGACGTTACCGCCACCCACAGGTAGCGCCAGTACATCTGTGTCAGCCGACGGCATTGAGAAGTCGTAGTCTCCACCAGCATCGTGAAGGCGTTTGACTGCTTCTGTTGTCATTTCATTCCATTTTTCCATAACCTCCTCACTTCCGTCTTCGACAATACGACTGATAATATGGTCAACTGGATTCCATCTCCTAAAAGTTAAATGATTGAATCAATGGATTCACACGGAAAAATCCCAACGACACACCTTACAGCGAATCCTGAGAAAGCATCTGTCTTACGATCAACAATCAAATCATGGCAATAAATATAGGCATCTGGTTTACTTGCACTCACAACTACATCACCTGAAAAAACAAATTCTCTTATATTGTGAAAATGTTTCAATGATTCACTAATGCATTCTAGCTTTCAGTAACTAGGTAGATCTATTCACATCCATTGATGCTTTCCAGAGCTGCGCCGCACATTAGGCTTTTGCTTAGCTTTGCAGTGGTATTTAGATCTATAGTAAAAGGATCCCGCAGGGTGAGAAAACCTCAGCCAAGCAGGTCAGCCACCTTATCCAGGGAAAATCACCATAGCGACATAAAACTCATATAACATCTTTGTAAAGGCTCTTTTAGGTTTTGCTACCACCATTCCAGCAAGCTACCAGCTGATTCGCTAATTGACTTTCAATTTGGCTATGTAATGGTAATGTAACATGTCCATAAAAGTTCTTCCAGATACTTTATAAAGTTAAAGGCCTAATTTTAAACAGCCCAATTTTAAAGTCTTAGACCTTTCATGTCTATTTCTATATAGAAAGGATGCTATTCGATGATTTATTCTTGCATATAAGTTGCACCTATAAAGTCTTACATCTTCGTAACAGATGGCAAAACACCAAGTTCATGCGCGTGCTCTGTCCTAAAAGTCAAACACCTTTCCTTTCGAACATTGATCGTGGTCCGACAATGGCGATCAGGTGTAATCTACTGCAGTGAGTTGTAGAGGACACCGCAACTACAAACATGAACCAATGGTCAAAAATCCAACATTTCACCTGAACCAATCGAACCTGGCGTTCCTTCGAGCCCCCTAACTTTGGGCATACCCAACCAAGAGTAACGTAACTATGTCGTCCACTTTCTAATACCCCCCTCCCCCACCTCTAATAGGAATAGAAATAGGAAAGATAGGAATAGGAAACCGTGCTTCTCTAATATGGCCAAATACATGCAAACGTCATTCCGAATGACCTAAGGCAGTTTGTAATGGAAAATCTTGAATATCTGAATAAAATTTGCAATCAATTCGCATCATGAACTGTTGTAACTCTTCCAACATTAGGTTTCGTGATGCAAACAATCCGAAATTTTTTGAAAAATCACATCATCAGACAACAAAAATTGTAAATTAGCAACTCATAAGATGTTGAATACAGTAACGCACCTAAACGGGCATGTCGCTTGGCATCTGTGAAATGAGGAACTGCTCCACCGACGCCGACCACAAAAACGTGTTCGATATTTTGGAAATTTCCCAGCAACCTTCAAAAAAAGTTTTGAAGACCCGCTAAATCCGAGAAGTCATTAAAGATCACACCTTGTGGTGATGGAACCAGCGCTTGTGGTAGCTTCACGAGAATCTCCAATAGAAGCAAGCTTGGTAGCCACAACACGATGATGGCCAATACGTCCCATCGAATAGACATTCGAGTCACCACCAGATTTGTACTGAAATACGGATTTAAAACGTTGGCATACTTTTTTCCAGGGCCCGCTCCAGGACTCAAATGAAAAATATGTGTGCTTGACCGTTAAAGTGACCCATCCTGGAATTGTTACGAACAGTTCAACGATCTTGAAAAATCTTGTTTCATCTACACGCGCAGGAATACGATTACGAATCAACAATGGTTCTCCCCAAAGTGAAAACTGAAAGCCTCGCCTGTCAACACAAATCATGTGTGAGGGTATTCTCGCACACATAAACATTACTTCTGAAAGCCTCCATTTGAATGGGACAGTTCGAATTAATGAGCAAGATCAATTAATTCAGATTATCCTATGACAAAACCTTGAAAACATTACTTACTTTCAAAATTTCCTAAACTACAGGTTGAATCTTTCTTTTCCGATTATTTCGGAATATTAACTTTCAACAGACAAAACTAAAGAGGAGCACTTCAGCTACACACACAATGGACAAATTGAATTACTAGAAGCTAACAACATTTTCACAAGGAAGTAAAGAAAAAGGACAAAACTCAAGAGAAACCTCATAAAAACATGAAAATATTGCCACAAAAAAGGAAGGAGAAGCTCACTTTGTGTAAAATTGACCGTTCCTCGATTAATGCATCTACGGCTTGTTTTTCAACGAACAGACATGTTATGATCGCAACTGTCGGTTGATCTTGTGCACCTGAAAAAAAACACTAGAAGTAAACAGGTCATTAGGATTCCAATAAATAAAAACAACCATTTGAGTAGACTTCAAATAGAACATAATTTGGTAAAAATAGTCAAAATAGCTAACATTCAATAAGCAACTGATGTAACTCATACCGTGTACAGTTCGAGCTACTGCATCAACATTACGAGTATCTACTCTGAGCCATTCATCTTCTACACGACATACTATTCCTAAAGCTTCCAGTTCGCCGAGATAATGAATTACTTCGTCTTCAGTGGTCCTAAAAAGGTTTTGTCGGCTTAACATAGCAAAGATCAGCGTCTAGAAACTCCGAAAAACAGTCAAACAAAAGAATTAATCAAATGCAGACCTACCTAAGGGCTTCTGCCATAACCGGAACGCTGAGGCCATTCGGGAACGCATGTTCAAGCAACTCTTGGATGTGTCCCACTGTGACTTCTTCCACTTCCGAACCCGAGTCTGCAATAAAAATCATGACAAAAGCTTGGAGACAGAAGAAATCTACTTTATTATACCTTACCGTATTGGGCTGCGTCCGGGATCGGTACTTGTTCTTCTTCGCTAAGAAGCTTGAATTCAATGTCGATACGTTGAATCTCGGCAAACTCATGCTGCAGTTGTTTCAGAATGCGCATCATGAATGAGACATAATCTAAACAGAAATCATTGCTACATGATGCTCATGATCAGTTTTGCCGATGACTTAATCACCTTTTGGGAAACCAGACATAAGTTGTTTGAAGAAATTATGTACCACAGAACGGCCATGATGTAGCTCTACGTCATTTCGCAAGGTAAACTTCAATGTACGCTTTTCCTGTAAATGTCAAGGCAATCAGTTGCGAAGTTAAGATTGTATACAGACAGAAAAGATGAAAATCATGGGTCTTGTAGATATATCACGAAAACGCTTTAAATCGACAAAAAAAACTGAATAAAAACCGTAGAAGATTATTAAAAAATTGTTACTAACAATATAAGAACAAGTTATTATGAATAGGTGAAAAACAAAAAAAAAACAACGAAAAAGTGCATAAAGCGCCAAACACAGCACAGCATTCAGTACCTGTTTCCTATTATTTCCATCACTAAGCCAGACAGAAAATGATAGCTCAACGTGGTTTGAGCAATCTGAAACAGATTGTTGATAAACAATGAGTTGTAGAAATTCAATGAAAAAATGAACCAGCAATTTTTTATACAGAAATGAGAATTTCTACAATTATTCAAATCCATCAATCGATTATCCGTTTATTCTGCAAAATTGGAGAAACAATATGCTCAAACTGTATTGTTTCAAACCCTGAATCAGTTTCTCTAGGAAGGGTAACTGATACTTAATCAGATGAAGAATACAAACAAAAATATTATTTTGAAAACCGCAGTTGATTCAATGAGACTCCCTTTCCAGGGTCAATAAAACTGTGAGGGTTAATCTTGTTTGTTTTTTTTTTCTTGATGCAAAGAAGCATATGCCTAAAAAACTCAGAATAGAAACAAGCTCACCTCCAGGAACATGTTTGCAAAGTTTATTGATGATAATTCCAGTATGGGGTCCGCCCGCCACATGCAGTAATTTATCGCCGTCTAGTCCTTGTTCCCTAGAAAAACATAAACGAATTACGAATGCAAACGACTATCCAGAAAAACCTTCGAAGGTCTTGAAGGGCAACAGATAGCAAAGTACAAGAAATCAGTAGGAAATTTGGTTAATAAGTGTTCGAAATTGTCTTGATATTCAATCCTTCTGTGATGAATTTGAAAAAGTAGAGCAGAACCCATCACTAAACAAACATTAGTCAATATATCACAACCGATATGGGGGACTGCTACAAAAACAAACACCATTAAACATTACGGCGCAATCACCGTCAATGTTGTCAAACAACATCAAGATAATACGCCTAGCGAAAACCACAGCAGAAAGAAAAAGTTCAGGAGTCATTCATAGGTGAATTAAAAAATTATGAAGAACGCTTTGAGAATTAAAGCAAGATCCCGACGTCACACTCGTTGTACCGCAATTGAATCACTAGTGCTGGAAGAGAAACTTGCCGTAAATCGTAGCAGAAACGGAAAGCAGAAACATCCTTGTTATTGAAAATCAAAATGTAGCCTACGTACTAATAAACTGGTAATATTCAACTGACCAATAAGAGTCTCTGGTGCCCTTACTGGTCCCTTTCTACAATAAATCAGCAACTATGTGGCCACATCAGCTACCCATTAATCTTGTGCCACCAAACCCACCCTTAAGTACCACGACTGCTACAGTCCGAAGATCCTTCAATTCTTCATCAGATGGAAAGAGCAAAAAAGTAGTACAACACATTATTAATATCAGTTCGGAAAATCAAGCGAATTCATATACATTATATATCCCTAGGGTTTTCATGAAGGTACCCAAATGAGTGGCTTTCGGTCAGAAAAATATTAAAAAGCCCAACCACTCTATCGAGCAAACCTTCATGCATTGGAGAACAATTCACCTACAAATGTCAACAAGATTGCGACTTGAGAAAACGGGAAACTGTCCAACAACAGAAAACTAACATCTACTTGGTCTCATGAGAAAAAAATGAAGCTAGTACACATTTAAATGTCATTCGTAAAATTGTGTTCATTTTAGAGGCGTTATAAACCCAAAAATCAGAAAAAAAATCCACAAATTCTATCTTTCACACTTTCTCGCACAAAAAAAAAGCACTCACCTATGGATGACAACGATATTGTGGCTGGGACTTTGTTTGATGGGAGTGAGAACGACAAGCGACGAATAGGCCACCATTTGATCGTGGTTGAGGTCGTTTTTGAACGGAGGAAAGATCGATGACGTCCGATCCGACTTCTGAATCACTCCGCTATTGTCGTTACGGCGTACATAAAGGTGTCAAGTGGAGCGAAACGTAAAACGCGGTATAATCCACATCGATTGATGGCGACTTAATAAAAAATTAACAGGAAAAAAGATGATACGAGAGAGTTACCATATAAAAATAGAACTAAAAAGATTCCAATCAACTTTTTTTGCAGGCATCAATTTTATTCAAGAAGGAGCTTCAAAAAAAAAAGAAAAGGAACAAAATTTTTCAAGGCTTCATTTTCTCGCTGCCAGCTCCTAGTTCAGCTCTTATCCACCCCTTATTCGAATACCATTTACCCAAAATAAGCAAAGGCACAAAACAAAATGTTATTACCCTTTATGTGAGTGTAGTTGGTAGGAAATAAATCAAGAAAAGGGATTTATTAGGTTAGCAACTACGTAATTGCGTAGGTCTCAGGGAAATCTCATTACCCTTTCTTACAAAAAAATGTAATTATACAGTTATACATTGGCTACAAAATACTTAGGTACCCGCCCTATAAGGCCGATTAATTCAGGCAAATAGGTAGGTACTTTTGAAGGTAAATGTTGAAGAATCTCGAGAAATACACAATTACTCAATTGCCAACCTGATGTTTACGGCTATATGTGAGTAAACACCAAAACAAAGGTCAATTCTCAAAGCGCCGTGGATTTATTGGTGGCGCGCATTTATCATGCACAACCCTGTCAATCACGTTCGAACATGTGCGTGAAGTAAACAAACAAATAAATCAACATATAAGGAGAGCGAAAGCTACTAAATATGCTATGACTACTCCAACAACATTACCTAAAAATAAGAAAAAATGCTATGATGAGTAAGGAATAGAAAGTAAAGGAAGAAAATAGAACATTCTGGAAAACGTGAAAGTTTCAAATAGATCCGCAGAACTCTTCTAGCCTTCGTTTTTATTTTGTTGGTTAACAGAATATGCCAACATGAATCTATCAAACGCCAAAACTAGTTCTTGACAACTATAAAAATTCCAAATAGCGATAGAAATAGAAGGAAAGTAGTACTGTAATTGTAGTTTACACATATTTCCAAACATTGGCATAAAAATCATAAAAATACAGTTATTACGTAGCATTTCGAGAATTCCCTAAGAAATTAAATTCTCAAATCATTCATTACCTTCAACCAGTTGAATATGATAGAAGGGAGCGCTATACTAACGCAGAACAAAGGAAAAATTAGGGTATTATTTTACCCAAGCCAGGTAAATTATTACCATATGAAATTAAACCTGGATAAATTGTATTTGGATAATAAACCTGAAATAATAGATAGCGTAGTAAGTAGCCAGTCATTGGGATGGAAAAAGAAATAGAAATTCAAAAAGCTGTTCTCATCAGCAAGAAAAACCAATGATCAACGTTTCAAATTAATCTGAGTTCGCGCCAATTCGATTATAGCGCGATAACTCGTCCACGAGAAAGGAGCTCCCAACAGGTTCTAGGGTAATTATTTTTCTAAGTGAATTTAACCAATTTAGTCATCAGAACGCCCAAGCCTCGACCCATAATCCCCTCAAACTAGTTTATGGTTTTTTTTGTGGCACATCAGCGTTTGTGTTGATAGCCTTCGGGCTTTTCTTCTTAGCTTAGCGGAACAATTAAGTGTTTTTTCTAGTGAACATCTATTTTTAGACGAGAAGAGGACATTCTCGAGACATATGGTTGGGAAAATGGAGCCACTCCACCAAGACGCAGCAAATCACTCAAAGGGCAACAACGTCGCTCAGCGCTCAGCCTCTCACGCAATATTTCGGGCCACTTTCGGCTTCAACAAAAACACGCATGAAACAGATGGTGCTGAATGAATCGTGAAAACTATGTTTATGATGGCATTGAATGGACAATTGGGACATTTCAAGCAGCAAAAACGAGTCCAGCTAGACAGCCTCCTCAGGAATGCCTGAATTCCTTGAGAAAGATTTTTGAACCCTCAAAATGAGCCAGACGGAAGTGGCGCTTTTACCACACACATGGTTCTTGGATCAATTTCCGGATGAATTTCGATAAGGCTGGACAAGCTTTCTAATTTTTGGCATGGCTAGTTGGGAACAGAACCAGTATGGGTCGTTCAAGCCACTTTCCTATACGTGGTTCACGAAATTAATTGTGTAGACCAAGGACACACTCCGCCATTCCGATTATGAATGGTAGTCGATCCGGCAAACCCCACTGTAACCCAGAGGAGTAGGCTAGTCGATACATTAAGAAAAGTTGGAGGATTCCTTTGTTTTTGGTCTGGAAGTTATCCTATTGGGGATTGATATCCGGTCAAAACAGTGATTTCCCTCTCCTACTGGTTACAAAATGAAGGGGCAAAGTCTTCAACACTAATCAAAACCTTTTTACTATTCGCCCACGTATTGGATTCTGCCCCACATCGGAATAATGGGTATATTAATAGATATGATTAAAAAGAATCGAGTAAGCAGCAACACTCGGTTGACTGTTCCTTATTCACCTCTACTGCTATTGTAGAAATAACCATTTTTGGTTTATAATTTGACAGGTAAATAAATAATCATCTAGAGAAAACAAAGGGAATAATGTTGCAAATGCTCTTTTTGAAGCAAGACGACAATAAATGAGTTATGCCTTTTGATTTGCCTCATAGAACGGGGTCTAAAGTTCTACTAATCAACTGAATGCATGCGACTTTCCAGAAGATGATTAACAACACAAATTACAATTACAAGATAGTATTAATTTCAGTGAAATAATCAGTCCCGGGACAATAATTAGAATTTAATGGAAATTTAAATCGAGAACACTATTTCCCCTTTTCTCAGTTTTTTTCGTCTTTGACTTTTGATACATCCTCTTAGGAGGAAGTCATTTATGCGTCGAGGTGGAGGAAAGTTGTTTTTGAAGACACAGCTCCCCCTAATCATGCGTATGGAACCATCTCAACAATACCAATCGAGTCTCCCTCCCAATTGCAAAAACAAATGTTGGGGTTTTTAATTGCATGCTTGACGCCGTTTCACCCTAGGAAGGCCCTTACTCAAACGAAGATGCTAATTGGTTGGCAATTTGGGAAGAAGCCTGCACTACCAATCATCCAACAAAAGTAAACTGAGATATGCAAGAATGTTTGCCAAGAAAGTTGCCACCAACGGCAAGATACCCTACATAGGACTTGCCGGCTGACTGAGTGCCAGTCAGCGGGAGGCAAAAGTCCCGGAAGGACTTCGTCAAAGAGTGGGCGGGTAGATATCGACACTTCTTATCGAGTACGGAGGGCGGGTCCAAGGCTTTATTTGGGGGAGCGGCCGTTATGGCAGCTTCAGCCACCAACTTCTAGAGGGAATTCTTGCAAAAGGGTTGATTGTCCTGCAAGTAGGGTCCATGGAGAGTAAAACATAAAGGCAATGTGAAAACCAAGAAAAAAAGTGAAAAGATTAGATGGATGAGTTTCAAGGAATGAGGGTCCTTAGAGAAAAGAAAAAAAAGAAAAATGACTTTCAAGAGGACAAACACCATTCGAATGTCAAACTATATATGACAAGAGGAAGCAAAACATGACAAGCGAAAAGTGACCTTCAAGTCAGCGGAAAAAACAAGTTTTTGAACTGACATCTCGAATGAGAGGGAAAAGTCCTTCACAAGATGAAAACTGACTGACGGAAGAACCACTCAGAGAAAAGTGGCAATAGCGGAAGAAGGAGGCGGATGGTAGCGGTTATGGCGACCTTCTCGCGACGGGAAAAACATTTCCA